TATCATTATTTTTTACGGGTTATGGTAAAAATACTAAAAGTCCTAAAATTTGATTTTAAAAACTAAGACGAGAAGACACATAAAAAATGTTTAACGAAATGTAATCTCGAAAATGTTGTTTCAACAAGTATATCAGACTATGTGTAAGAAGAAATTTTGAAGATACTGGCTGGAAAGGAAACAGCAATCTACGAAACCAAAAAGATTAAGTTTTTTAACTGTAGAAACAAAAACTTAACACGCTCATAACTTTTTCTAAAAAAGTGATGGAACGCCGGAAGTGGTTTTATTTTATAGCTCAGACTTTCCTCTACATTAAGCTGTGTTCAACTCGAAATCGAAATTTTTTCAAAAAAAAGAAGCTTACCTTTAATTGTATGAACAAATCTATGCTTCACCGTTAAGGAAATTAATTCAGCCATTATGGAACTAGTTTAGTGCCAGTGAGAAATTTTGAGATTTAACGTAGTACAGTATGCTTCAAATATTTTTATTTTCTCTATTTCAGTTGATCGACGAAAAATTAACGCTGATTCTATATGGTTATAATCAGTTATTATAACTGAGTTTATTTAATATGAATGTTGTTATTCTGTCTTATCTAATAAATGACTTTTCTATTATTTATTTGTTTAGTGTACGATCTCTAGCTGATCGTGAGAAAACCGTGATCTCAAATCGTGACTCTTATTTCGCTAATGGTTTGTGATAGGAAAAAGAATTCATAACTCAGCTTAGAAACATTATTTTGACTTGCTAATTTCAGCAAATAGTTCTCAAGGTTCGCTTATTTCCAAGTTAATCCCAGGTTAACTTTGTCAAATCTGTAGACTCGACTGCGTCAATGATATAAATAAATTAAGAAATTTAATTTAAATTAAATTAAATTAAAAACTATTCATCTGAAAATTTCTCAGTAGAGGAGGAAAACGTGTTTTCTCTCACGTTTTCTTCAAAGAGAAAAGCCTCAAATTGGTATCAATAATACTATTATCGTCCAAATTTATTTATTGCTTATTCGTTTTTGGTATCCCTACCTGTCATAGCGGCGAGAAATAAACATCCGTTTAGTCGATTGAAACTTATCAAAAATCGTTTAAGGTCGACGATGAATGATGAAAGGGTTACTTCATTTAATGTTATGTTCGACAGAAAGAGATTTTCTAGAATGCTAGTGTGCCAAGCAATTAGTCAAAATATGGGAATTACATACCCTAGTGAAAGTACTCATACAATGAGTACGACTTTATTCATAATTCGTCTATGAGTACTCATATTAGTTCTACTAACAATTTCTGAGTATTGTAACTCAGTGCGTACTCAGTTACTCGTGTGAGTACTCAGAAAATATTCGTTTACCGTTTTATTTTAATAAACTGAAACTGTATAAAGAATGTAGAATTTAGTGAAGAAACACAGAATATTTATATTATTATTTTCTCACTGGTCTCTCTGTATTTACAGTCATAGATGGACTTGTCTATGACTAGACTCGTCGTCCTGCTCTGACTGCCTGAGCTCACTCTTCTATACGAAAATATCAGATGAAAAATACTCATGAGTATTTTTGCCAAAAGTTATATGAGTACTTAACAATACCCAAGCATGAGTACTCAAAGTCGTATCCACAGTACTCGTTACTCACTCAATGTGAGTACTCACTGAGTAAAAAAATGCATAAGTACTCATAAGTACTCCGGACATTTTTCAGCAAAGTACGACTTTGAGTACTCACACTTGAGTACATTCACTAGGGTAAACATCAATTTTTTGAATAAACTGAACTAAGGCCGTTTTTCGACAAAAAAGAGAGCAGCAAAAAATTAATCCGTCTTATATTGTCTTTTAAAAAAGAGATAAATAATTAATAGATATATATGTATAGAATTCATAAATTAATATGAATTGTATAAGTTTTAGAGGTTTTGATATCGTTTTTTTCTGAAAATTCGAATGTTTGCGACTTTTTGCTTAGTTTCTTCGTCGCTAATACTAGTTATAAAGAGTAATTTCTGGTAACTGTCAGAGTTACAAGAAATTATCCATCATTGCTAACTTTCAAAAGTCGATGAATACTCAGCAAAAATCTCATAGGGTTTGCCACTTATTCAAATCACCAAAAGTAACAGGCACGATGTTTGGATGAGACTCTGAAACATAAGCGGCGAGCGCAAGAGGTTCAAGTCTTACCATGTTTGAACCTAACATTTTGTTGAAATACGTGCAAAAAAAAAAACAGAACAAATCATAGATTTTTCGATTACAGGAAATGTGAAACTAATTATTCAGTTGTTTACACATCTTTTAGATCTAACAGAAGTGAGAAACAACGTACGACAGCTGAGTATATCTGACTGAATGGCATTATCTACAAACAGAAAAAACATTAGTAAAGATCCTAATATCATATTATTGTAATAGCAAAGAGAAGAAAGCAAAGAAACTTTTGTACATCCATTATTGCACGAATTTAACAAACTTGAATCGTTGCGCGTGAATGTTGGTATTTTTCTTGATTCTTCAAGAGAATATTCAAGCTTGGCAATCGCATATCTCTCATTATACGGTCGAAATGCGCATCGATAAATTTGGAGGGGTATCCGTTTAACCGGAGAAGAATCTTTATCTGATACAGTTCCTCTTTGGCGTCACATACGTCGAAACAAATAGGAATCGCTCTTGTTACTGCTGCATATAACAGCGCTTTTCGCTCTTATGCAAGACTACCCATCGAAGAAAGCGATGGGTTTCTGGATGGTCGGTAGAGGCGCGGTGGACGATGACGAACTAGAAGGTCAGGTGGAACATAGTTGCCAATGTTGGTGGGTGAATTAAAATTTGATAAATTAAATTTGATGTCATTTGTGCCAAGTACAAATGAAAGACTTGTAGCGTCGTGGAGTAATTCGTAAGTGAAATAAAACCCTTAGATTCGAATAGAGTTTTTCACATGTATCTTTTCTTAGAATGTAACAAAACGGTCTCAAGCTCATCAGAATCAATGAAATGAAAGTGAATCTGATGAAATAGAAGATGTCTGTCAAAAAAATACGAAACAATTCAAAGTTACTAATTACCAGTGTGTTTTTTATGTTACAACTTGCAACTAAATTAGGTTATGTCGATCTGTTGTTAGCTAAAGGACCATTGTCAATAGACGAATTAGCACTAGCTTCAGATTGTGATTCTTCTTCTCTTCAACGTCTTCTCCATGTTCTGGCACGTGCCAGAACAGTGAAATAGTACGCGATTTAAAAAAAGCACAATATTTTTGATCCAAGATAGAAAGAAAGAAGATAGATTCGAAGAAGTAAAGATAAGGACCGGAAACATCGAACAAAACATGCCACGACGCAGTAACCGAATAGTGCAGGAGGGAATATTTGCCGAGGATAAGAGCGATAGATACTTTAAACTGACACCATTGGTTCGTCTTTTGTTCATCAGTTCTGTTGACAAGATTGATCTGTGAGGGGGCCAATTTTGCCTCTTGTCGACCCCCGTCCTTCTTTATAAGAAACAGAAAATCACTGTATATTCAATCAATTCAATAATAATTTCAATTAACTTGATTTAAAGTAGAAGAAATAGTAGAAAGAAAATTTTTCGCATTGAGGTACAAAGCATACTTGCAGAAATGAGATTCGATGATTTAAAATACCTATCAGGTTTTTGCAAAAAGGACTGAAACGAAAAGAATCGTTGTTAGAAGATGCCGGTAAAATAAAGAACCAAGAGAAGAGATTTGGAGTAATACATTTAGAATAAGATCTGTAGGTATAATAGACAAGGATGCATAATAATAAATTTAATTTCGATTCCAGTACAAATCGAAGCAAATTGTCTTATGGTGCAAAATGTTTTAGATAATTTGACGAAATCTGGTACCTGTCCTTGGTTTTTTAACCGTTCGCTCGTCTACTAGTTAACATAAACCTAACTCCCGCGGGAACTTTACCCGAGGGATCCTTAGAGTATTTACACTAAACGCCCATTGAATCCCTGATTTATGCGAAAATCCCGGAAAAAATTATACAAATTACCGGATGTTGAGAAGTTATTCGCCATTTTATTTTGCATGAAAATTTCTAAAATACCGGAAAACATGTAGGACTTTTTGCCTGAATGTTTCGCCTTGAATTACTAGACCACAAAGCTTTCGCAATTTATTTTATTCATACTGAAATAAAACGAGCTTTCATAGCTTGTTCATTTTCACAATTATTTGTTGACTCAATTGATTTGCCGTCGTCACTCTTGTTTAATGGAAAGCCATGTGCCGTGTGAATGATTGACTTAATAATCGGAACTAATAAGAAAAACTAATGATAAAAATATGTCGCATCTTTCATAATATACACTTTTTATTTCTTTTATCGGTTGTCATATAACAACAAAAAAAATGAAAACAAAATACAAGACACTTACTGTCGAAAACTTAAAAAACGGAAAAACAAAACGTGACAGATTAAGAATAATCTCTAGATCAAGCGTTAACAACCAAATCATGAGATCATCTTCATCTATATTCAAAAGTAAAGAGATTCATAAATCGTGCAAGAAAGAAGATACACTGATCAATATGAGAGCTAAAACCAGTAGAATAGAAAGAATAAAAGTGTCGTATAAGTTTTATGTAAAAATAGATTACAGTAGATGTAGGTTTAACATAATTTAGAAAACAGAGTTGAACAATACACACACAAAGTTTCTAACAGCTACTGCATGCACTGTTCGACGGAAAACAAGGTTGGTAACAAAGGAAAAAAAAGTCACTGTGCTACGATAATGCTCTAACTACAAATAAAATAAGTTCACCCTGAGAGAAAATAGAGTGCACAATGAGATTTAGAACATCTAAAAGTATAATCCGTACGTATATCCAACGCAAATGAATGTGACTGTCTATCAGTAAAGAGTGTATAAACAAACTAAAGATACTTTTTTTTAAGTAAAAGTATTATCTACTAGAAAAAAAAAAACAATTAAAAAAAAGACGATCACACCGGTGTTTCACGTATCCATTTTTGAAACGTTTTAGATTCATTAACACGAAATAAATGTTTTGAAATAATCGTTCGTTTTGTATGTTGTTGTGGCTTATCATTCAAATAAGAATTATCATATTTTTTTCTATTAACATATATATTATCAGAATGAGGATTTACTGTTGTTGTTATTTTTGATGCAACCAATGGGATAATGGCTGCGTTTTTTGTCATTTTATTATTCTTATTTTCAAATTTAACATTCTCTGATCCTAATGAACGTATCAATTTATCACTTGTAACTGATCCTAAAATAGCAAAGAAAAACTAAATTAAGATGGAGATAAAAGTTTCTAACAAAAAAATCAAGCGATCATGCAACACAAAATTATACTATAAAAGTAAATAAAATCTCTAATTTGACAATTAAACTTTTATGGTGTATCCCCAAAAAATATAAAATTATAATTAATTATGTGAATAAGGCATTTTTCTACGTTTTTTTTTTGCAAACAGAACTTGGCGAATGATCAAGATTATAATGAAAATTTTTCTAATGAAACAGGTAGTCTCAAAATTGAAGTTTGATTTTAGATTATTTTCTTTTGTAATTAAAGAAAATAATGAATATCTAACTGAATAGATTGATTTCACTTCGCTAAGTCCTGATTGCAAGACAATGATATGTGTTTTGGGATAATAAATATAAAAAATATGCGTATATACTGGTGTGTTTGGCGTGTAAACTCTTTAATTACATAAGCTATAATGCTATAGATGTATATTCACTTTTTAAGTCTAAACTAAAATTGATTACGAATATTCATTTACCCTCAATGCAGATTATATATTATTCTAAAAAAATAATAAAATCATCATACAATGACTAATAATGGTTTTGACAGTCATATGGGAAAACTTGGTACACAACGAGATGTAAAACAAACTCGTCGTTATAATAATTATTATAACCACTCGTTTTCTCACACAAATTGTTCATATATCAAGCAAACAACACATACACACAAAAAGCTACAGTGCTTTAAATAACAATAGAATATCTGATTGATTAACAAGACATGCATCAAAAAGATCAATTTTGAGAGGAAGAGGAAGCTACCATGAAAATTGACTGAAAAAAGCAATGACTAAGATTAAAATTATTTTTTCAAGTAGAAAATTGATTTTTTTTTTGTTCTGTTTTTATCAATTATTTTTAAAAATTAAACTTTTCTATTTTTGAAAATATTTTTATAGTTTTTCAATAGCTTTTTTATACGATGCGACTCATCCTTCGCAAACGTTTGTTGAAATATGACTTTCAGAAATATAATTAATTAAAAAAAAAGCACAGCAAATCAAAAGCAAGAAGACAAAATACAACAATAGTTTTTCGTGCTATATATAAAAAAAAATACGCCATATATATATACACACACACACATATACACACGAAAATAACAATCGTGAAACATGTATACACATACACCGTCATAATCCGCCACTGTTGACTGAATAAGATATAAATCAAAGAATTTTATCGACAATAGAAAAATTATAACTTATATAAAAGTGGCATGAGAAGAAAAAACAATTTTTCTTTTTTTCCTTGATCAATATTTTACTCCCATCACCGTATCTTTTACTATATGAAAAATATAATCTTAGATAATGTTAAAAAAATAGAAAAACAAAAAATTCATCATATTAATTAGATAATGCATTATTATCAGATTTATACAATTTTCGTAAACAATTCGTCGATAAATATTCATCTTAATCGATAAAATCTTTTATTTATGTTATTTTCTAAGTTTGCACTGATATTTGCAATCAGTTTACGGTTTAGAACGTCGTTTGACGAGCAGTGAAATAGAAATAGTCTTCATAGCTAGACAAAGCACAGTTTAGAAGCACTGTTATCCTAGAATTTTATCATTGCTATAAAATAAGCGTTAGCATCATTGAACCATTCTCTTTTTACTGAAGGGGCACATGCATTTAATCTTTTAAAATGATATTTTTTTTTTATTTTTTTTATTATTACTAAGAAATGAGCTGAAGAAGATGACGATGAATTTTATAATTGATAATAGTAATATTTAGGCAAAATTATAATAATAGTAACTTACACATGCTGTCAATTAATTATAAAATAATACAACGAAATGGATGAGTACGTTGCTGCTTTGTTGTTGTTGTTGTTGTTGATCGATTTTGAGCATCTCGAACAATCAATATCTGTGGCGTAGTCGATATATTATTCTCATGCTTCATGCTACTATTTACATCTAACTGAGATAATGATGCATCTGATAGATGAGTAGTCACTATAGAAGATGGAACAACGTCAATATTGTCTTCGCCATTTTGACTTGTAATTAGTCGATCAATTAAACCAGAATCTATTGAATATCTTCTTAATAATTTTTGTTCATTACTATCTTGATGATCTACAAACACATTCGAACTGTAAGAACGACGAAATGGTACAACAATATCCGTCTTATAGTTGATTAAATCAACTTGAGTTGTTGTTATTGAATACGTTTTTGATTTTGATAACATCATTTTATCATCATCTTCTTCCGTCTTAATTATATCGTCCACTGTTGTCATTTCTGTTCCATCTTCTGAATACCAGGAACCACATCTATGTTTAAGACCGGTAAAATATGTAACAGCACGTACTTTTGTCCATAATACATGACTATTTGATAATGGTAGTTTTTGACTAGGTTTTGTTTTTAATGTTGATGACCAACTTGGTAATACATACGGTTGAGCAAAATAGGCAAAATCATGAATATTGTATGTTTTATGTACATTTATACAAATATCATTTTTTGATTCATCTAAATTTGTCTGTTCATTAGGAAAGAGTGAGCATATTTGAACATTATTTAAATACATGTTATTATTATTATTATTATTATTATTATTATTATTATCATTAGTGTCTATAGAAGCAGATGAAATATTAGTTATACTAGAAAAAGTGTCATCAACAGTGGCGGAAAATGAAGATGATAACTGTGTATTAGAAAGATGATGGTCATTATTATTATTATTATTATTTAGGCTTTTGTCAAACGTCAAGTCAGCAGACCAATAGCAGTTAGATGGTAACAACAACGATGATGATAACGATGGTGCATCTTCATTCGAGCAACTACCTTGAACCAATCGTACTGTTAATGCCAAATACACAGGCTAAAATAAATAGAAAAAAGAATTTAGAAAATTATAACAATTGATAAAAGAAGACAAATTACATATATGACGCAGTCTACACTTGTGATCTCAATACTACTATTGAAATAAACAGTATATAAGTGGACGATGAGCTCAACTACTATAGTAAAATAAAAAGACAATGCCAATTAATTTACCTTATGATCGCCCATACATACATCTTCACCAATTACATTATAAACAGGTCTATTTGCCTATGATAAAAACAAAAAAATATTTGCAGAAAATAATATAACATATAATATTTTATTATCCATCAGCCATGATTATTTTACCTCTAAATTCACATAACTTCTCAATGAATGACTGAGTAAAATTCTATCGCACCAAGATGGACAACGTGCTTTTAAATAGCAGCGTGCCTCATTATTTTCTTCACTAAACGGATAACTAAACACAAATAAAAAAGATTCAGTACATAAATATACAAAACAAACATGTAGTTTATAAATTTACCTTGGTGGAAATGTTTTTTCAAATTCAAATAAATGATCTTGAAATGATGATAGTTCAAAATCAAGCGTTTTATACTGAAAAAAAAAACAAATAGACAATAAAATACAAAATTAGAAATATTCAAATGTCATGTTCATATTCAATTACCAAATGGGTATTTGTCTGAAAAAATGTATCATGATTATCATGTAAATTAAATCCTTTCTTTTCAATCGTAAGTTTTGGCTTAAAAAAAAAAGAAAGATGAAATATAACGACACATTTTAATAAATTCTCCATTGGATATATAAAACAATTTACTTTATTTTGAGCATTTCGAATAATTATCCTCGTGATTTCATCACTATCTGGTTGTCGAATTTTATCAATTGAATCATTTGGTTGTTCTGCCATTTGCTTCAAATAAATAAGAAAAAAACCAACAATTGATTTTCTGATAATAAATCACAAGAAGATATGCCTACTTCAAGGAAACGATGACAATCAAGACGAAAGTTAAAATCACCAAATATTGCGAATGGTACTTGTGGATTAGCCTTATCAAATGGTAGCCTAAATTTTGAATGATCTATCTTTTAGTAAATAAGATCATACTACGTATAATTACCTTTGTAGTGTATATTGAAGAGCCGTTTTTCGAAATGTACTATATACAGATGGACTCTAAAAATTGTTATTTTTTATTAAAAAATGTCTATATCCTAAATAGAATAATTATGATTAAAAAATTTTACCTGTTCAGCTGCAAGTAAATTTGAAGTGTCATGAAATAAATGAACGTTGACCATGTCGAGTACACTAATATAAAACATGACTTTTATTAAATGACATATACTTTTTTATTATTATTCGTAAAGAGATTTGTACATACCAGCCATTAATAGACCATCTTGTTTGTGTAAATCCTTTCCGAGACCATTTTGCCTAGAAAGAAAATCGATGCTGTTAAGTATGAAATTGTCAATACATTTTAGCCATACTTCATACTTCAGGAAAAAATTCTCTTGGAAATTTTTCTTTACGTAGTGATTGAGCCTGTATGAGATTACCGGCAAAAATCTGACGATTTACAACTGCTTGAAAACAGGAAGCTGAATGGGAGAAAAAAAAAGAAGACATTATGGTAGATATCATATTGATATCAAAATAAATACTTTGAAAGTTCCATTGTTGAACAGGAATATTTTGTCGAATAAAATAAGCACATCCTAATGCCTAAATAAATGAATAAACGAATTTTATTACAATTTCAAATTGAAACAAAATATCAAATAGTTCAAAATAGTGTAGAATTTTATCATATACTACGATACAGAAGTTCTTTATTTGTTTAAACAGGATCATATCAGAATCAACTTGAGAAAGAGTAAATCAATTTACTCACTGTAAAAGTATCTTGTGATGTATAATCAGAATCAAAATAGAGTCGACAACGTGTATATTCTTGACTAATTTCTGGTAATCGAAGCATTTCTCTATTTAAAAATGACAAAAAAAATATTTATCTTAAATTAATTCTTCAAAAATGAACAACATACTTTAGAAATGGATCAAGAACGTGCATAAACTGTTCATAGTTTTTTCCACCAACTTCTTGACAATGTAGAGCAACAAAATCGGATGGATGTCTTTTTAGAAGCTAAAATCAAACAAAAAACAAATAGAGTTATAATTGAAACAAGAATAAAGCGTCCTATCAACAACTTTCACAATCTATAAATAAACAATGAAAAACTTTCTTTTCTTGTGTTCTAAGCGAAACTAACACTGAGACATATATAGAACAATCAATAGAACACAAAAATAATCCTGATGATTAGTAACTAATTTGCACTTTTGAAAGTATATCAGTCAATCTCTTTCCGTTATATAATTAAGATTCTTTTACGAACATAATAATTTCTCTCCACAAGATTAATAGCCGCGCCTACTAACTTACTATAAGAAAAACAAAAAATTGATCATTATGGTTCTTATTGTTCATTAGATACATCTGGATCATCATTAACTTCATCAAATAATAACGATTTAGAAATTTATGATCTACCAAGATACATTCATATCGATTCACAATGTCTTTTCGTTACCGAATCAATACACGACTATGGATAAACCATTAATGCTGTTGCAGTAGAACGGAAAGAAATAGAAAATTTTCAATAAGAAAGAGACAAGTGTCATTGATAAATTTAAAGTGTGTTTCATATGGTATAAAGTAAATCTGAATAAATATTTTTAGAAAAATGAATGTTTATAATTACGTGTATCGTATCATCAAAAATTTTTGTTTATTGGAGTTGTTTTGTGAGTCTCAACTGATAACTCAAAGTCTTATTCAACCAAAAAAATGAACTGTTAATGACTAAAAGCATATGCATTCTATTAAATGATCAAAATGTTATTTACTAACGAAAAATTACAACAGTTCAATGCAGATTTGGTTTAAAAAACTTTTGGATTTGTTTCAAACTTTATTTTTTAACATATTTTGTTTCGAACTGTTTAAATTTGTTTAAATGCATTGTGGAACTACACATTGTGCATTGTGGAAAAATACATTTTGCTTATCTTTTTACTATGTGACATTGGTTTTTTGATCTGGTACTTTCAGAAAAGAAAAATATCATCAAATTTTCTGACAAAACCAGATTGTAGAAGAACATATAAAATGCTTACAGAACGAAAGTGAATTCTCTACAATCTGGCTGTATTAAAAATTCGTCCAAATCTTAAAGTGATAGTTGGGAATGTTCCCTCGTACGCGTAAGTTATATCTATGCCGACAAGCCAATATGACTGAGAGCTACTTCTAATAACTGGCAATATCTCTTTAATTTGTTCAACATTTCTTAATATAAACAATTTATATTTCCATTAAATATACTCGTTTAAAGTTTGTTTGTAAAAAAACAGTTACACCAAACAGAACTTCTCAAGATAACAAACTATAATCAGATCAAAGATTTTACTTGAAAAGTCGCAAATTGGCGAAACTATCACTTCTGAAATAAAAAATATTCTGACAAGTATAATATTGAATAATAACACGATAGAGAAATAATAATGGCAGAGGGAAAATGTGAAAAGTCGAATAAAAGTATCATTGATAAAAATGCATCAACAATACAGAAGATTGTTTTTCTGACATTTCAAATGGACCGTAAGCTAATCATGGCCTGTTTAAATGTGAACCAGATGCATACAAAGAAGATAAATTTCATGCGTATTTTACTGATTGTTCTGATACTGTGATTGTTCTGTAAATTATCTCGCAGAAAATCGTCCTTATGGCAAAAAAAAAGTGAACTTTGTTCTTAGATATATTAGAAAAATTATTGAAAAGTATGAAACAAGGTATCTCCCTGTTTTGTGATTGTCAATGTAGAGTTAACCAACAATGCTCATTTATATATGATTATTGAGCTATGTGAAAGAAACATATAATAGAGTACTTGGGATTAAAAGACATCGAAAATTATCATCATATTTTCATTAGTTTTAAGTAGTGATGTGCAAAGCACCATTTTTATACTTGTATTCGATACCTGTATTTGATTAGCACCTGTACTAGGCGGATCAGGTCAGACTGTACATCTCTAGTTTTTAGCCATTCTTGACAAGAAAAACTTACTATTAAATGCATCAAAACTCAATTTGATCGAATTATATTTAATCAGAGCAAAAAGACTTTTAATAGAAATTTAGCGTTTCGACAAACCAAAAAACGTTTCTTCAAGTGCTAAAATACTTTTGAAACGTGTGAACAGTCCCCAAGACGAAAGAGTCCCGACCATCCAGTTTTCTCAGTGAAAAGCTAAGATTTCTAGTAAAATCCTGTTTCGTTCAGTAAACTGTAAATGGTTAATTCGATAGATCAAAGACTAGTCCATATTGTGAACAAGAATTTATTTCAAAACTGGTTTATGTTCTAAATCAGAAAATACCAACCTTACACTTCAATAAGAAGAACGCTTAAAATTAATTTATCTTTATTGTTCAATGCAGATTTCTTACAATTTCAGCATTTTTACTATTGTTTTCGGATATGCTCGAAATATTTATGAACAACTTCAATTAGACTATATTGGAAAGGTGCTCCTAATTGATGGTAGACAATTGTTTATGAAAACCCGGTATATTCGAATGTCTCTTTTTACCCATCCTTATAATAAAAATTAAAAATAGAGTAAACTACTTTGCATACAGTTGTTTGAATTTGTTTAAGAAGTTTAAAGAGCAATAAGTAATAAGCTCAAAATCATGTGGTAAAGAGATGATACAGTCTAGAAAATAAAGTTTTTTTGAACTACTTATTTCTCAAACGTGACGGAAAGCGAGTTGTTAATTAAAATCTTACATATCTCAATGAAATGTCGCTTTTTACCATCAAGTATTTTAAACGGTCTTTCAGGAAAAGAAGAAAAAAAGAATGTTTTTTTTCTTCATCTGATTAGTTTTAATGTATATAATACACGTAAAGAATAGAGCAAAACAAATCACACACTAATGGATCGAAATTTGACCGCACAATAAAGCGAAAGGTTTCTAGAGTATTGACGTCATTCATACATGCAAAGAAAAACATGCACAATAAAAACATCTGTTCATTTAGTTTTTCATATTAAATCAAAAACAAAAATATTTATCATTCAAACGAGTGTTTTAAAATAGCTTGAAAAACCAGCGATATCATCCCTCATATTGAAGTTGATCATAATTTTAGAATAATTATGTTCTATCTTTAAGACAAATACTCTCGCATTTTATCGCATCTATTTTACTCTTCTCATTAAATATATCTCCCACAAAGATTAGAAAAAACAGATGCTAAAGAAAAAACTCTATATTTTCTCAGGTTTCGATGAATACAAGATGTTTTACTAGTGCAGAATTTTTGCATGTGCATATAGTTCAACAGTTGATTACTCAAAACGATATTTTTATTACTTGATGACGTATAATTTTGTTCTTATACAATCATTCTCAAAATGCATAGAGTATATGAGATAAACACAAAATGATAACTCAACAGCTTTTATCTTTCTTTCGAACAAATAAGAGTCTATCTTTTTTATCAAACAATAGTAACATAATGAATAGTAGTAATTAATTTATTTTAATTGCTTACCTTTCCTAATTCTGCAAGCCATTCTGATACTAATTCAGGCTAAAAGAGAAAAAGAAAACAAAATAAGAACATATCAATTTATCTTAAATATATTCTAAAAGGCAAATAAATATAAAATAATGATACAAATCTTAATAATAACCTTTTCAAATATAGTGCCTGTATTAGCTGTAATCAAAAGTAATCGAGCGTTTATATTCTTTTCACCCATTTAAGTAGAAGATAATTGTTGTTGATGAGAATATTTACAATTGATAGACATTGAACGTTTCATTATAATATAATTAATAAGCTAAAAAGTATAAAAATAAAAGAATAATAAAATTAAATTATCCTATATTAAATTTAAGGAAATAACTACACTTGAACATTCTCTCATAAATTAATTTTAATGTAGTTTTGATAAAATTATTCTTATATATGTAAAATAAATGGATAACAAAAATAAGATAGAATAAAATTTATCTATTTTTCTGTTATACATACATTCATACTGAACAGGTGAAACATAACAGTTCCATATTGACTTTAAATGTGTCGTCCTACTTTTAATTAATATTATTATTAATACTTAATAAAATGTTGATTAATGTCACACATATGTCATCGTTACAACACAAAAGAACTCTTCGATTTGTACTCGGCACTAATACTATTATTTTTTTCTCTTTAAGTTAAATATAATGATGTGATGATTTTTTCTTCTTCTTCTCTTTATACTTGTTCTTTGCGCTTTTTTTTTTCTTCTTCTTCTCCTTCATGTATTTGAAGAAACATTGTGATGACGTACGTCCACTTACTGGTCTTTTCTTTTTTTACATCTTCTAACCCTAATCTATATTTTCTTTTTCTTTGGTAGTCTACTGTTTTTTTTCTTCTGTTTTTTTTTTGACACCATATCGATAAAATAATTTTTTTTTCTTTTTTTACTTTTGATTTTTCATTCATTTCTTAATCGTATCATTTTTCTTTACTCTGTTTCAATTATAATATAAAAAAAAAAAAAAAAACGTATCATGCTTAAAGAACTGTGGGATAAAGCTTCTTTTCTTTTTTAGTCCCAATGCCAGTTTTTTAGTTCTTTAACCGATTATTTTATTTCGATTTGAGACGTGTGTATCTATTTGTTTCTTCTATTAAGAATCTATTAGAAGTTTAGTCACATTAAAAAACGGAAAGGATCATTATTAATTCACACTCTAGAAATTATGATGTATAGCATAGAGAAGATTGTTGTTTCTCTACTGATTTAACAAAATTGATTAATAACGTGATTTCAATCACTATTTAGTCGCTAAGCAAAAAAATAAAAATATGTACATCACTAAAGCAAAGAACAAAGTAAGCTTAAGATTTATCGTAATGAATAGTTGAAGATAGACGAGATCCGCATTACCTCTCTAGCTCATTCTATGCTATAAGATGAAGGCTCATTTAGAAAGTCAAATTTCTACATTGAATTCTATCAATATTTCTTTGCTTCAGAATCCTATCTTAACGAAACTTTGAAAGATTTGTTCTCACTATTGGCAAATACAAAACCAAAAACTGTTTCGTCCTTTATACGTAGTCACATAGACAATTTTTACTGATCACTAATGAGAAAAAGTGGAAAATTTGATATTTTCTACTATAAAATTCCATTCAATAAAAATATCAGTCTTAAATTCGTTTATTACATACATTTTGTAAAAGAACTGAAAATTTATGACGTCAAACAAGCTAAAAAGAGACCAGAAGCTCTATATACAAAATTACATGTTTTAAGAAAGTTTTACACTCTTCACACATACACGTAATACTGCTTAATCTTTTTTTTTGTTATTATCATCAATAAATTTTATGAGTACTTAATAATAAGTCAAGCCGATTACTGTCGCATCCGATCAATTAAAGACACTTTCAAGACAAGAGAGAAAAAATACTATTTATTCTATAGATTCATATTCTTCTCATCCGTACAATATTCTCTATATTCTTCTGTCTGTTATTATTTATTTCTCTTTTATATTGCCCTATAGTCAAAAAACGTGTGTTTTTGTAGGAGGAGCACAATATGTTCCATATTTAAAGATGGTTGTGATTGAATAATAGAAAGGCAAAACAAAAATATTAACGAAAAATAAATACGACATAAAAAACAACGCATTTTTACGGTACAATGTTTTGATATGAATTAAAAACTAACAGATTATGCGAAATGAAGGCATGTTGACATTCCATTTAACGCACAATGAGTATACCTAAAAGCTTTTTTCTCAAAACAACATTTTATAACACTTAAAATGAATGTTCTCTAATTTTGATCGTGATTCATCTAATGTCCAAGATATGTAATCGACTCATATATATATTATCTTAGAAAAATCTACATATACTAAAAAAGAATTGTCAAACAACTGAAACATCAAACTTTAGTACGTTTAATCCAATATCATCACAAATAGATCGGTAACGTTCGATTTTTTCCTGCTTATGTCTAAGTCAGAGGTATAGAATATAACTGTTTGCTCTGATGACTGTCGGTGGAGAACTTTTTTTAGAAAAATTTGAACAAAACAAAATTTTTACTAAAAAATTAGTTGCAGAAGAAAATGTTCCGACAATACTAAGGAACTTTTTAGAAATTCTTCCGTGAAGGAAAGTTTTTCATTCTTATGGGATAGATTCTGCACCTCTGATCGGACCTAGTTATTTTATCCGCCGCTTTTATCTAATCCTTAGCTCAAGACTATTAGATTGTAAAAAAAGAAAACGTTTCTCAAATCTATCCGCAAATAACTTTAGGAAAGATACGACGACAAAATACTATCAGATTTTCTCGATAGTGTACTGAAACTTGGATAACATTGTATACCTTTGCAGATTATACTGTAAAAGGATGGATGATACTTTGATTATGTCTAAGAAACTTCAAAAATGACAAGTTTCTAATGAGTAGCAAATGGTGACAGAGGATTATCGATAGACACTGTTCAAAATTGAATCCCTACAGATGTAAAATATGAAATTTTTTTAAATTAAAATAAGAACGCTTTTAGATAGTGCTCACGTTCAGAAACAGTAGTAATCACTAGTTGGACAAAATATTTATTTAACTCACATAAGGTCAGCTTCGAAGTGAACTGCATAAACAGTGATTACAAATTATTTTTGTGTTTCTCAATACAGTTGTGAATAATCTTGTACTACCATTAGGATACTAATTCCTATTCTTTTTTTCTAATTGCAAATAATAATAATTATTACAGATTATTTATCATACAAAAAGAGTTCATCAGCTTACCTTTCTAGTATCTATCGTTTCTCCAGTGCCATTAATAAGAAGAAAAAAAGTTCCAGTTCTAGATAAAATGATTGGATGCCTTTATTGTCATTCACCGTAACGAAAAAATACGTTTAATGATGGTCGAAGAAGAAAAAAAAAGGAGTGAACGTGATCGGAAAAATAGATGAAATATGAAATATACATTTTGGATTAAAAATCCACCTGCTTTTTCACTCTAATACGGTTAAAGATTTTACAGTAACAAACAGATGATGTTGTAGACATGTGCGTAATATATTTAGTCATTTATTTATTTATTTATTTAACAAAAAAAAAAGAATAAACTAAATCGAATAATTTGTCTCGTGTGAGAACAAAAATCATAAACAGATGCAGACACATACGTATTTCTATTATACTCTCTAATCAACTCTCTAATCCATCACTCATTTTGACCGACGGTTTTTTTCCTTCTCAATCTCTATATGTATTTATATCTCAACATTAACAAATTTTCCTCATATTTGCCCTAAAAACATTTTATATCTATCAAAATTGAGTTATAACGACTGTGACTCTAATACGACATACAGAGAAAGATGAGAAAACATATTTTTTGTATATGAAATAAAAAAATGTGTGTAGGAGTAAATTGAGTCTTAATGTGAAATTTTTTTACATAATCATGTCTTCATTTCCATAAACGATTGAAACATTTGCTATTGTCAATTACATTATCATACCTGACGTGAATAATTATATATATAACAAATAAAGTAAAAATACGCTAGATATATAGATATATAGATATATATATTATTGAACTGATTCCTAGATGATCGATTTACATGATTAGAATAGTCAAGAAGTAAACATGAACTTAAAATAAAGATAAAAACAATATGTTATTTGAGATTGAGAAGAAAAGATGTATCTATAATCTCATATAATTACATATCAAATTAAAAGAAATGTTTGATTAGTAAAGTAATATCAACATAGAAGAGTAAAAAAAGTTAGTTAGTTTAATTAAGAAAAAAATGATTCTTGATCAATATAAGACTAACTAATCAATATTCAACATATATTGAAGAAGACAAAAAATATCTATCGTTTAGATCTAACATATAGTTTATAATACGTCGAAATTGTAGTTAAGATTAAAAAAGTTTGAATACAAGCAATTATGTCTATTTTTTCTACATATTTTTGGCATTTTTTTTTAGAAGAAATTGTAACAGCTTGATTATTAACAGAGTGGCAGAAAAAACAAATAAAAAAAAAAAGAAATAACCTATAAAACGCAAAAACAAAAAAACAGTATGTATCTATCGTCAATATACAAGTTAGAAAACATTAGCATATCAGAATATTAATAATTATAATCATAACATGAAAAAACAAAAAATAATACACATATCTTAGGTTATACACCGTACGAGACAAAAGGGAAATAGAATGATGAGAGAAAGGAAAAGAGAGAGAAAAAGAGAAGATAATAATGTGCTTGTTCGTTTTAACTCAAGAAGAGTAAGAGAAGTTCGATATATATATATATATATGGATATATAAATTCCCTCGTCTTTTATATTTGACACAATATAATAATTTCTAATGATGTGTAAGATACAAGAAAATAGCAAATTTGGAACAGACAAAAGACTACTTTTTTTTTACCACAAAATATAGTTGATGCTTTGTACTACACCCTCTATATATATTGAGTACTGTAAATTCTATATGAATAAATATAAGAGAAGAAAGAAAAAACAAGATTACGAGAATATCATTCATTTTCATTATATACACAGTATCGAGAGAGAAAGCTTATAAATGTGCTTTTTATTGATAAAACGCAATATATTTTGTGTTATTCTATCGCCACAACAACTATATGCCTAAATTTTTGATCAACAGAGAGATAGTACTAAGAAAAGAAGAAGAAGAAGAAAAAGAAGAAGAGAAGATAGACATCTAATAATTAGTTTGTTTCGAGAAATCAGAACAAACGTTTATTCTTGTTTATTGTTCTCAGATAAATGAGTTGAATACAGATATAAAACGTATACCTGTATACCTTTTTCACTAAAAGTAAATGAAGCTATTAGAAGACAAACAAAAGAAAAAAACGTTATCTTATTTTATTATCGAAAAAAACAATCAATGACCACCACTTTTTCTTTTTTTGACTCATAAAACAACATGACTATTTATCTTTTCAATAAAATAAACTAAAAATCACCTTTAGTAAATAATTATGCACATTAACAAATTGTATGATGAATATGAAAAGAGAGATAAATAGAAGTAGACTCTCTAGAAATGAAAATATTTACTAGAAAGGGTTAGACTATATGTACTTTTAGTCAATATAATTTTATACTTCTAACTTTTTGTTTCTTCTTCTTCTAATCAATACATCAGAAGAGAAGAAGAAAACAAAAAATGTCAATTATTAAAAATAAGCAAGGTTAGATAGATTGGATGTTTATCTATTCATTCATTCCTACGTAAAAGGTGAATGAAATCGATCAGAAATAATAAACAATTATTTCTATCTTTAGTATACAGTACAAATCAATAATAATCAAAATCACTTAATTGTAAAAACAAATAATAATACGAGTCAGATGCAATCTATTACCCACCACAGTTATACTAAAGGATTTTCTTTGTATTAAAAATAAAATAATAATAAAAACGTACGATTAATCAGTTAATTTTAGGATGAATAATTTTAATTATTCATTATTTTTTCATAGACAGGTAACACGTAAGAATGATAGAAAATAAAAATACAAATAAAGTCATTAAAAACAAAATGATGAATTGTCATGTACATACTATTTTTCACGGATAATCTCTGGTGTAAACAATTTATTTTCCTATTTTCCCTTTTAAAATTAATTATTCCATTAATATGGAAAAAATTTCTTAATCAGGCAGACGTTCATCATACAACAAAATGATAAACATAAATATTAGTACTCAATTCTATTGTCTTCTTTTTCTTTTTTAATCAGAATGTTCACTAGATATATATTTTAACAAAATTTCAAGCAAAAGATATTCAATTCTCATCGATCATTTGGAAGAAAGATATTATAATAATATAGAAGAAGACAAAAATGAATTTAATTTAAAAAAAACCGAATGACTGTTTTATTATTCTGATCATTCTATTATTATCAGTATTAATAACAACAAAAAAAGAAAAAACAAACACAAACAAATACACAGACATATATATATTTATGTAAAAAATACAAAAAAAAAAACGCTTTTTTTTCTGCACAAACAATGAAAAAAAAAAACACTTGAATGTATCACATGTGAAAAAGTTTCGAATGCACATAATTAAAGATTTATCGATATGTAGAAACATTTTTAAAGATAATTATAAAAAAAAAAAAGAAGACATTTTTTCTAATTTAGATTCGAAATTTATTGACAAGTATTTTTAATTGACCTTTGGCATCAGCTGTTACGATAACATACGGTGGAATTGTATAATCATTGTTTCCATTGTGATTGTTCATATAAGTTCGTGAACTAACTTTCGTAGAATTAGCTGTTGTAATATTACGCGATAATTTTTGACTAGGATTAAGTAATGGAGGAATGGCAACAGGAAGAGAAGGTGAATTAGTATGAGTATAAACATAATCCATGATTAATGCAGGATTAGGAGCAAATATTGCTGATGTCACGACACTATTGTGTACTAAAAATTAAAAATAAAAATAAATGTTTTTAAGATAAAAATATTGTTCGATCAGATATTGTGACATACACACTAGAGAGTTCTTCGTTTATCCTTTGACTTTGAAGAATGTAGAGGCAGAAAATTAATTAATAGTTGGCTTAAATAACATTAGTCATAATAATAAACTCTATTTATTGGACACTGTTGACGTTGCAACTTATCTTTAGGCTATTGTCAAAGACGATATATTTAAAGATCAAGAGTAGAAAGGAACAAGTAAATAGATATATGAAATATAGGGTGAAACGTCGACGATATTCAATAAAAAAAAAAGAAAGATGGTTTAATGAGAAAACGGCTTAATATAATTTAAGAAAATAATGTGTGAGAATATTTTGTCAAAGTGTATTTTTGATTTTCGACACATCTTTACTGTTAAAAGTCTATTATGGTCTATTGTAACCCGAAAAGTTTGATCAGTTTTGCCTGTTACTTCAGGTAGATAAGAGTTCATATTTATTACATTTTCTCTATCAGTTCAACTTGTTTATGAGTGCATTCTCATTTGACACATTGACGACGATGTAGATCACCGGCATCCTACAGTACTCTTGAAAAGTATCCGACCCCTGTAACTCATGAACCATGATAGCTAAGAACTTCTAGTTTTGTGTAGTACTCACTCTCAGCACTCACTGAATCCTGATCACCCAGCAAGTTTAAGCGTCTTTTACTGGATGGTTCATAATATATAAGCGTTTCATTTTTTTCCCGTAAAAATCCTATTAACTCTTGATTCAAGAGAGATGAAAACTTTTTCTTTTTACTAAAATGTAGTCCTGACTCTCCTCTATTTATACTATGAATTTTCTTTGCTGGCTCCTAATGGTTACTGAAAGCAGCGCTTTCACGATCGTGGATCACTTTTGAAATATGAGGTTCTTTCTGAAAAAAATTCATAACTCAGCCTAGAGACATCATTTTAAAACGTAGAGGAGACAGAAACCTGAGAAACTAAGGGTCGACGCATACACATACATTAGAAATATTACACGGTACTCTAGAACATTGAATTTCAAGGCGAAAAACTAACAAAATTTCTCCCCAACTAGTCTTCCAAAAAGGGACAAAAATAAATGTATTTATGTATTTAAGTAAAAATTCTAGAAAGTCTTGGCTATTGTATGGTGAAAACCGATAGTCTCTATCCCTTTTCATTCTCGAGTTATTCAGAAAATGACAGAGTTTGCTACATTTCGTGTTCCAAACTCAAGCTTGAGAAGCACTTCTTTCGTGGTGAAAAATTGAAAACTAGCTAAAAAATGTGTTTTTTCCGGTTTTTCACAATGAAGATGTTTTCCAAAATTGAGTCTAAAAGATGAAATGTAGTAAAAAATTCATAGTCGATATCACTTAATCAACACAATTAATGAAATTCCTCACCTCTCACCTCATTGTACTTTTTAAAACTATTTTAATATTACCTCTTATTCGTTCCCAAGCACGATCAAAATGTCGACGTTGCTTTTTTGATAATTTTGAATATTTGTTATTTATCGATACGTCATCTACAGGCACTGTTTGCCATATGTAGAACCAACTATCTTCACTTCCGCTATATACATAGATTTTTAATATTGAAACAGAAAAATATTAGAAATTAAGAATATTTTTCTCTTACCTGATAATATAACGATCATCGTGACTAAACGATGCACGAATTTGACTTGAATTATTCGAATAACCACGATATTTTCTTTCTATTTCTTTCGTTTTAATATCATATAAACGTATACGAGAATCATTTGATGTAATTAATATCTAAATATAAGAAAAAAGTTTTGTTTTTCAAAGAAAAGAAATATTAGTTGTCTCAAGTATTAATAGATAAACAAGCTGTTTAATTTTATTTTATTTTCACTAAAAAAAAATGAGAAATATAGATAGAAATACATACTTTAGAGGAATTTAAATTCATGGCTTCAATACCAGTAATTTTTCTTGGTTTTCGTCGTTTTTTTCTCGATCGATTATTATTTTTATCTCCAATATTCATCACTGTATCGTATACTAACGAATCAGTATATACTATAAATCGACCATCGAATGTGCCAACAATCACTTTTTTACCATCATCACAAAAATTAATTGCTGTTATTAAATTTGCATTTGTCGATGATGTTGGATTTGTTTGTGCTTGTATTTGATTCCAATAAATAACTTTCTTATCTGGTATATGCCATAGACGAACATGACCTAATAACAAATAATTTCTTGAATATTCTATAAACGAATACTATATATTATAATATCTCTTACCATCTAAAGATGCACTCACAAAATATCGATCATCTCTTGGATGAAAGGCAATTGCCGATACAAAATCAATATGACGAAAAAAACAAAGACATTCTTTTCGACTTAAATGCCAAAGTCGAACAGTTTTATCCATCGATGATGATAACATAAAATGTGATTTTGACCAAGCAATATCAAGAACAGCAGCGAGATGACCTGTCAACTCACAAAATGGTTTTGGATATAATGGTGCTTGATTTTCATTTAAACCCAGCATTGGATTGGCCGTTGTATCGGATGTCGTTGTACGATTAGTAATATCAAATTCATGAAAACGTTGAGCTAACGCATCAGCTGCTTGTGATTCTTTTGATTTTGACTCTGTTGTAACATCAGAATATTCATCAAGGGTTGTATGCATCGTTTTAAACATCCATACTTTCAACAAAGTATCTTGTCCACCAGTCGCTTAACAAACAAAAAACTCAACAGTTTAAAATTCTGCCTCTTTTAGCTTCTAGATAAAAAAGTTTCTCACTAATTACTTCACCAAATAGATGACGTTTCAGCTATCGTATTTACTCACCTAGTAAACGACCGTCTGGAGAAAAGCGCATACACCAGATCGGACCATTATGCGCTGTAACTATTGTCTGTAATAATTGTGTTTTATCAAATATCGAATGACCCGTCAAATTTCTTGATGATTTGTATTTCACATCACTATCATTTAATACAATATCTTTATCATCGTCACTTTCGTCGTCAAATTCTTCATGTTCACTATCACCATTAGCTAAATGAACAGAAAAGATTCGTTAAATGATACTTTTTAGAATTGTATTAAAACTCATATCGATTTTTTGCTTGATCAAATATATTAACTACCCACCTTTTCTTCCTTTTGTATGAATTTTGAGCCATTTTTTCTTGACAAGTTTTGTGAATCTTTTTTTACTTCCTTTTAATAAATTTTTTACGGCTGTTTGTGATGCTTTTGTCGTTGATGTTGATGCAGCTGTTGTATGACTGGATTTCGTACTTGCTTCAGATGATGTTGATATTGAATCGAGTTCGTCATTACTTGCTCTAGTTGAATGTGTTTCATTCTTTATGACAGTTGGGGAATAATTATGATGATAATCATTTGGTGTTGAATTTCTTCTAAGTGAATTATTCATGCTTGTACTACTAGAACTTGAATACAAAACAAAAAAAAATTTATCATTCTGTAAATTTAGATTTATTCGCGTACTTTGCACTGGCATTAACTGTTTTTAATATTTGCATTGTCATAGGATTCATAAATTCTTTTGGTACAGCCTCTTGCAACGGTACATATTTTCCGTAATCTAAATTTTTGACAATTGGCTGTTTCATTATTTCATCATCATTCAATGTTTGACCACCACGTGTTAATCCACCAAATTTTGTTATACAATCGATTGTATCTAAATTAACTGGTTCAGAAATGGCCGTTAATTTTCTTGGATCAAAAATTGTTGGTGTTCTATGATTTCTATTCGAATAAGGAAATGTTGTACAAGTGGGTGATGAAACAGGTAATGAATGTTGTTGTTGAAATGATGGAGTTGTATTTTGATGAATATTGTCTAAAACTGAACGTGGTAAAAAGATAACAGGTACAGTATCTGATGAAGACGAAAATGAAGAAGTGCGATGGTTAGTAGAAGCAGAATAGTTATCAAATCTTGATGGTTGTTGCGAGGATGGGGAAGGAAAAGAGGCGAAACAATTTGGACAACAATTTTTGTGTTGGTGATGTTGTTGGTATTGTTCATCAATCAATGGATTACTCGTAATCGACAAAGTCGGTGAACGTGGAGAAAAATCGGATGATAAATCGTTTTGACTGTGATTGTTTGATTCAACATTACTTGGCCATGTTTTAGCACGTGACATATGATAGGATTGTGAAGGAGACTGCTGTGAAAATGAAATATCATTTTGTCTTAGTACAGACGGAGCCTAAAATAAATAGATGAAAGTAGTAAGTATATAAGATGACTTAAAATCAAACGTTTTCATACGTAAATAAAATCTAACTTACTTGTTTTTTTTTTCGTTTTCGATCAGTATTTGAGATATGATCTTTTAATAAATCTGGCGGATATTTTTCTTCTAGAGACTGGTGTTGTTCTGTTTCTCGATCATATATTCCTACTGTTGAGGTATCAAGAGATGGTGAATAAATAGACTTTTGAACGTTTGTTTGTTGAAATAAATTTGGTATTTGACTATAAGATAAATCACCCTTTTCTTCTTGTGAACGTAAAAAAGATAGTTTATCACGTCTTTGTAAATCATTCATTTGTGACTGATTTAATGTTATTTTATAAAGTTGTTCCTAAATAAAAACAAAAGTTGAATAAAATAGTAAATTAGTATAAATAAAACATACTGTATTTTGTTGTGTGTTGACATTAGATATCGACTGTTGTACAGATGTTCTAGAAAATGATAATGTTAAACAATGAATTTATTAAAACAATAAATTTTTCAGACTCTCACTACAAAATATAGATATACTTACAAATCTGAATCAGGTATTTCGGGTGCATCATAAAAATCCTCATCATCACTTGAACTATCCGTTGATGAGGAAGTAGTCGTTGATGTTGATAATCCTCGACTTAATTCATTATCAGTGTGTTTGGCATTGCTGCTGAAAATATTATTTTTTGAAATAATTGATTTTCGATCGATTGACGACGACATTAATATTAAAAAATGGAAGACGACAAAGGAGAAAAATCATGTATAATAGGAGATATATTGTCCGTAAATAGTGACCGTTTTCTACATCTAAAAACAAAAAGAAAAATATTCAGAAAAAAAAAGAGTTCAGCTATCAAACAAAGAAGAAAGTTCATTAACTTTATCAAATAATAATAGAAATATTTAAAATTCACGATTATAAATCAAACAATGACGTATACTTTCATGAAGAAAAAAAGCAAAAAACTTCACAAAATTTGCAAACAAATTTACTACACATAGAACTGTGTATTAAACTAGCTCAAGACGATAACAATTTGAGAATAGTTTATAGCTGTTCAGAATTTTGTAGTAATGATTTAAATTCATCATCAATTGTAAAGCTATGGAGAACTTCGGCTAGCGTATATTCTCCTAATGCGTACATGCCCGTTGGTGTTGAGTCAAATTGCCCTTTTAATTGTAATTTAATATCATCAACGGAAATATTAGTATCATTTGTCTTCGGATTAACAGTATCCCATTTTCGTATTCTAGCCAACTTTTCAATTTCATTTCCGTCAGGTGTATCATATTTACTCAAAAAATATTCTCTACTATTCATTGTTTTACATTCTAATGTTTTATTCAAATATTGTTCAATTAATGTTTCTAATTCATATCTATGATGGAAAACATGAAAATATGTTTGAAAATTTTTATCATTATTATTTGAAATTGGATATTGATATGTTTCATAAACAAATATAAATTTGTTTTGAAAATATAATGTTTCAAATGGTATAGATGAATTTGAATCACATATAATTAAATCGGCTAATTCAATTAATTTTAAAGTATTTTTTTCGTTAATTGGAATAATTTTAGCTGATGAAGATTGAATTAATCGTTCAGTATTCTGTTTTTCTAGTTCAGTAAGTGATAAAAATGGATGTTCTTTATTATTATCATACCAACAATCGTAAGTTAATGGATGAAATTTAATTGTGTACGGAAACTGAAATGAAATAATATAATCTACAATAACATTATTCGATAATAGACTTGTTTGTGCTTGTTCAAATGAATAACTTGGACAAATCAATATCTGATTGGATTTATCACTATCTTCCTTTCGTTCATTTTTTGTTAACATATAATTTGTAAATGTTATCGGTAAACGATGTGTATGTTCGTATGCACAACTCTGACAACCAAACATACAATGACCCACTGCATAAATGTCGATGATAGAAGAAACATTATTTTTTATTAAATTGAAAATTTTTAGTTGAATTTTGCCAAATAAGTAATTTAATGATGCTGTTAAAATAATAACCACCGGTATTGTTGTTAGAGATACCTGTGTGAATAGTGTATCAAGATTAAAGTCGTGTACAAAAATATTCTTATTTGTTGTTCTAAAATAATCTTGAATCATTTTCTTTTGTGGATTCCAATTGTAAATAAACACATGGACATCGCTTGAGTAACTTGCAAATGCTTCGACAAGGTTAGAATGAGCATAGCCAGTATGATACGGAATGAAAAACGCAATCTTAGACATATCTAAAATATATTTGATTTAGTGAAAAAAAAGAAATTACTGATAGATGGATGTATAAGATAATAATATCTAACCTTTTTCTCTTTTTCACATTCTTCTCCAATGCAATAAAATCCATGAAGAAAATCGCGTAATACCATATTAAAATTGGAATCTAACATAATTTTTTTAAACTCAAGAAACGTGATAATAAATTCTTTAAAATAAAATCAGTCAAGCTATAATTTTGGGTTTTGTTTGATTCTGCATATATATTCAAAACTGAAAGTAGAATGATTACATGAATAAAATACGATGAACTTGATCGTCTGCAGTTTCTTTTGATCTACATTCATTCTAATAATGTTTTTTTGAAAAATAATAGAACACAGCATGATAGAAGAAACGTTCAGTAAAGAACAGTCTGTACAATAAAATAGAACAGAACAAAACACATGAAACCAACGTATCAAACAAAACAGAAAAATATTAGTTATTTTTAGAAGTCTGTACTTAAAACGAATCTTGTTTTCCTCTAAACAATTGAGATGTAAAAACAATGCACAGTAGGGAGAGCTATGTGAAATTAATAAATAAATAAATATGAATGAAAAAGAAATTAGATGGCAAAGTATAACGACAATAACAAAACTATTTAGTCCTTTCGTTGTGTCCTGGGAACCATCAGTTTTCCCTATCATAGATGGGCTAGAGTAGGGTAGTAACCACTAAAGTATAAAATTCATGCTGATAACAGCAACTAATGCGTAACCTGGTTACGCATTAGTTGGGTTACGCATTAGTTGCTGTTGTCCAAGTCAATTTACAGTGATTTTACCGCATAGTATACCCTAACATTAATGATGATCGTCTTGAATTTGTAAAAACCGTTAAAACCTCAGATTTGCTACGAGTTTGCTACTGTGGGATCAACTTTACAGTTAGAATTTACAATTCGATCAAAATTCACTTCACAATCAGATTTACAGTTAGAAACACAATTTAAATTACAGCAGATTTTAGTTTTTCATGGTGGAATATCCTAATTAGCAAGTCCGTTTGTCTACCGTGCTATTAAAAACACCGGTCACTGATCGAGATAAGTTCAAATAAGTTAAGGGCAAAACTCTACCATCAACATTTAATTATTCAAAATACGCTGTTTTCTATAAAATACGATAAGTTAAGTGCATTTCGCTTATCTTGTCTCAAACTAAACTGTAATAAAGCTATTTTTCTTAACAATTAGATGATTGATCAGAAACCAGCCAGTATATAACTAACGAGAAATATGCGTCATTGAAACGGCACAGATGCGTTAATCAAACATGGCGATATTCGCTCTTTCTATTCATGTGCCCAAGTTGAACTCTATAATTTTTAAGACCGAAGATTTTTGAGAAATACGAAGTTTCATTTCGATTCATGTTCGGGCGACATTTTCAGAAAGCTGACAGTTGCAGTTTCGAAAACTTTACCGTGACCATATTTTTTAATAAAAGGGCGATCGTTCCCCAACCGTTACGTCCAGATCGATTTCTGATGGGTGGTAATGTCTTAATACTAATTGCTTCGCATTCATTCCGTCGCGTTAACAGTGAAGGCCGAATTAAGAGGAAAATATAAATGTTGTTTATTGACTGAATGTTTGTGTATGATAAAATAGACTGTAATCGTATATTACATAAAATGAGACTTTTTGAAACCATATTGATTCGTAACAAAAGAATAGAAAGTTTAAAAACTACGTATAGATGTTATTTATAAATTTTTGTTGTATTATATCATCACATTCATCTTCATTAATAGAAATACAGCTATCAAAAGACGGTGAGGATGGGTCTGAGCTCTTTTTTACGTTCATAATATTTATCATTCATTAAATACTCTGAGTCTAATTTATTTACTAAAAAATTTTCGTGCTTTCACTCAATTTCCAGTGTTACAGGCATTCTTTTTTCTGTTGAAAGACTTTTTTTCTTTTATCTAGTCTTGTTACTTTTTCCAAGTGTATATTCTCCAAGGAGAGGTAATTAGTTTTTTTTCAAATAATGTTGATGTCAAATACATGTGAATCGATGATCTTAATCCTTCTTTATAAGATTTAGCTCAGTTACAAGGATGGCACGGGTCGGGCGAGTAACCCTCCCTCCCCTCTCCCCAGTTTTGAAAATTTTTTATTTTTCTACAGCAAAGCTTAAGATTCTTCTTGCGTTCTGTGTGATTTTGAACTGTGCCCCACCCCCCAATCCTAACCCCTTCGAACCAGTCCTGCTCAGATGTGTCCAATCTTTCAATCCACTTCTTTTCACAAAAGACAGAAATTGCTGGTAAGATTTCTCTGTATTTCATAAGTGTACTCCGCAATATTTTGTCTGCTTTAAAAATACTTACGGTAATCTATCTGAGATTTGTTTTCATTTCTCACACCAATTCGTATTATTTGTCACGATGAACAGTATGTTTTAGAAACATAATTTTTATTTTTAAATTTCTTCAGCTTGGTGTGGTGCACAATATTTTCAAATTTCATTTGTATACTCATTAAAATAGTTTCAGATAATAATGAATTTGTTATTTATTTGTGCATTGTTACTAATTTCTCTGTTCACATCTGGTATGTATGTTATATCTGTTCATCTATGAACGAAAAATTTTCCATGATATATTTTAGTATTTGGAATACAATGTTATCAATGTAGTAGCGAAGAAGATGAATTTTGTCCAGCGTTTGGAAAATTTGACGAAACAAAAAATGCATTAGTTGACTGTTTCAGTTTGGAATCTTATGTTCCAGGTCATATGTGTATGAAAATGGTTAAAGAATCTTATGATACACTCTACGGTAACTTCTACTTGTTATCCATCTCATTTCTACTATAATTGTATTATTTTTCTTGTAGCAAAAGGATTTAAAACTGTGATACGTTCATGTGCATCTCGTTCAACTTTAGGTAAGCTATTCGTTTTCCTTACAATCCTCATTGACAACAAGATTAATTGCTTCTACTGTTTTGAACAGAGTGAAAATTAATGTGTCAGAAACCACATAGACATTTTTTTGTCTTTGGGTTGTAAGAGAAAACAGATCTATGCACTATATATCAATGAATTTTTTCTTTGTTATAGGCGTAGCTCAAGGATGTCGTTATTTTGTTGATGAATACGGTTTAGAAGTAGCTGTATGTTATTGTGAAAATCGTGATGGGTGTAATAGGACTGCACTGAAAAAGATATCATTTTTTCTATTAATAATAGCTGTTGTTTCGTTATACATTATTCAACAATTTCCATAGTTCTTCATTATTGCGTAAGAATGATCTCTATATTTCTTTACTGAAAACGTCCACAACGCAATGACATATTTTGCGTCCAATTTATTTTGTACATACGCTACTTTTATTATAATAAAAAAAACCGACCATTTTATACGTACTATTAATTCTTAATTTTATTTTATACATAAATCTTTCGGCTTATTCTTCCAGCTTTAGTATTTTCGATAGAATATACATATATAAATATATTTCTACATATTTTCTGTACATTCCAGTCTTTTATGTGATCTGTTGTAGTAGTGTTTTATTGCTACTATGTTTTTTATTGTATTTCTTACGAAAATGGATCATACTTATATGATCCTTTGAGAAGTAATCTCATTTATGTATATATCGCATTTTTATATCTATGTTTAGATTAGTTGTGTTATTTTTAATCTTTTGTTATATTCTCATCATAATAGACAGAAAAATATGGAAAATGAAAAGCCGTTTATAATTTTCACTGTTATTGTTTTCTTCGGTCAGCTAACTACTGTAGCATATGCAGCAGATATTTAACATTTTATTTTCGTTCTAATATAGAAGAGGTTTAAAAATAATAAATTTGACATATAGTATTATTAAAGGATAAACAATGATATCATCCGTTAATAATTAAATTGTATTTCTAGAGTTCTGCATTTTAGCTCTGATGAACGAATCTTTAATAAAAACTTTTTTCTTGGTACTCGAATCCTCGTTAGATATGATAAGTCTGTTATTAATATTGATAATGAATGTATTATTAAAAAACAATAAGTGATTAAATAAAACACATATCTCACAAACAATAAAATTTATATTCTCAGAACTTTGACAGACGGTCGTGTATGACCAGCAAAAAAAACCTAAATGATACTCGAGAAAATATACTTATATTATTTTAGAAAACATTTTGTTTTTGATAAAAATTAAAGAGTATACAGACAAAAAAAACAACAATACACAATTTTTATCAAATAAACGACAGTAATAAACAGAAAAATATTCAGTCTGTCTACTTAAGTTGAACATCGTTTTCCTAACACAAAAAACACAGTATATATCTGATTAATACCATATTGAAAGTATAGAAGAAACAAAATAATTATTAATGATTAAACTTCAATATTTATACGATTCAAGTCTTTTTGTTGAACTACATCATTTGTTGAATACATTGTATTGACGTTGACCACCTTTGTATCGACTTCTTTTGGTGTTAAATACATCGATGTCTTATTACTTGCTAAAAGTTCGAGACGTTTTGTATTTTGTATATCAAAGTAAATTTGTAACTTCTTCTCTAGAGGAATATCATCACCAAGATTATTAATAAAATTTTGTATTTTTGAACCTTCGGCAATACCATCAGCTTGATTTTCTTGACGTTCATTTTCTTTTTTAATTTTCAATAAAGTACCAAATAATTTTTCAGCATCAATTTGACCAGTTAAATCACGTAGACGAATTTCATTACTCGCCTCTTGTTTCTCATTATTTTTAATACGATTTGTTTTTTCATCAATTATTTGTTTAAATATTTTTTGTATTTCAGCATCTTTACAACGTTTTTGTAATACTTCTACACGTATAACATTGACACCACGACTATTATAGAAATTATCATCTTTATTTACAGAATCGATTAGCATATTATTTGGTAATTCCATAAATTCTAAGTATAAAAAAAATATATTTTACTTTATAAAAATTATTACAAAAGACAATCACTGTCTTTTTACCTTTCATATTATATTTTGATACTTCACTTAATATTTGTGAACGAGTATGATTACCTGAAAAGACGAAATTAGATAAAATATAATTTCAAATTTTTATTGATTATTTGGAGTCAGTAGGGCATAATTTGATAGAATATGACAGCCGATATAAAAATTTATCATTGTATAATGTTTTTACTTACAGATATCTTCTGGTGGATCCATTGTTACCAAAACAAGTTTATACAAGTCCGTAATTTGCCAAAAGATGGAGACATCAAGAATAATTTCAACATTATCAGCCGTTCGTACAAGAAATTCATAGTCCATATCTAGACAAGAGAAAATCTCAGTATTTGTTAATTTAATATAAATTCTTTCTTTTTTCCTTACATTGGTTACGTGTATCAAATCGATCGACTTTATTAATGCTTTTATGATTTTTATTCAGATCATTGGACCATTCTTGAGTATAGACTTGTTGATAGGGATAAATGAAGAACGATTTATCTTTCAAACCATTTTTCAAAATATGTTGTCCTAAAACATCAAAGAAAAATGATTTTATAATTCCATTTAACACGTTCAAAAACAAAACTGACCATCTTTATCGATCAGAACCATATTTTCGTACGGAGCAAGTTTAATTAATTTTCGAATTTCTAAAAATTTTTGTGTAAATGATGGAATGAATTTTTGAGGTTTTGTTATTAATTCATCGAAACCAGTATCTAAAAAATCGATAAAAAGGATAAGGATAGTAAGATTCAAGATCAATTTAATATATCATGAATATACCCAAATTTTTGACAAGTACGGCATTTTCATTATCAATGTTGATAATATCAAATATTGTCTGATTGTCTAGTTTAATAAGTGATTCATATGGACCAAGAGCAAATGTTTTTGGACCCTCTTCCATTCTCATCACACCTGTTCGACTATCAATAATTCGACAATAATTTGTGTGATTAAGAACGATATAACTGTAAACAACACTTATTTTATCATATGCTTTCGGGCAGAAGAGTTGCGGACCAGGAACGGTATTTTTTTCTCCCGATGATTCATCTAAAGGCAAATTTGGTGAAATATTTTGATCAAATGTACTTTAAAGCACTTTACCTGTTACAATAATATATTCGGTTGATGATAAATTGTACATATTTCGAATATCGCTAATGTCGTCAGATGGACGCGGACAATATAATTTAGGACCACGTTCAACTTTTTTTTCACCGTTGAATTTATCTTAATAGTGAACAAAAAGAGAGATTAGAAATAGAATTGCATGAAATTTTACATATAAAAGTTACTTGTAACAATCAAGTATTGTGTTGATGACAAATTTAACATCTGTTTAATACCCCTATTGACCGTATGATCCGATATTTGATCATATGGATTCCGTATACGATATATTTGTGGACCATGAATTATTTCCATCAATTTCGCATCCTCACTTGCGGCATCAGCATTTATAAATTCAATTCCTTCCTCCTTATTACTAGTGTTTGTAGCATGTGCTTTTGATTTTCTATCATTAATAATATGTTTGACGACTAAATATTCATTTCTTTGTAATGGAATCGACTTAATAACGTTTACATCATACCTATTAACCATTGATGAGAAGTATAAGTTATATCACAGAACTACTATTCTCTTTAAGCATACCAGCAAGGGAAAAAATTCCAACCGGGTCCGTGACGAATCTCCTTTCCTGTTGGTTTATTTAAAATAATCGATTCATCATCATCAATGGCAATGCAACATCCGTATTGAGCACTTTTACAACAACCCATTCAATCCTTATTTAGCTACAAAATAAATCTGAAAACAGAGAATAATAAGATAAATATAGTAGAACAAAAGCATAACCCTTTGTAATTTGTCTTATCTTTTCTTTGGACTTACACTCACAAACTAATTGAAAATTTAATGCATTTCTGTAACGAAAAGACAATTTTTTCTGTACTTTATCACAAATATATAATAGGAAAGACTTTTTTTATGTCCCGTCATGTGAGATTCCTTCTCTCTTTCTGTGTCAATGAAGAATTTTCTTGCTTATTACTAGTTTTAGTTTCTTAACAAAGCTTGTCTGAGCTTTGTCCACTTGCTCTACTTTGGAAAAATTATTATCATTATACATTAGTGCAATTCTTTCAATAATGACTTAGTTTAATGAAATCACTAGAAATGCACGAGCAAACTTTTGGTCTTTATTTCCTTAATGGTATTAGTCTGATATGAACACGCTTAAACATCAATGACTTATACGTTCTACTTGAAAAGATTCTGTGTTAAGCTATGAATGAGTCATCGACTGACTATTTTTAAATGTCTGTATGTAAAAATTTTTAAAAACTACGTTATGTATGTTTGGTCAGAAAAAAACTCGCTCAAATGCATTTTGCAGAAACTTTAAACGAGCACGCTTAAAATCAGTTGTTTATTATTTTTATTAACAAGGGACGTGCATCAACTATTAATTCCAGTTTTTAATGGGATATAGCCTAGTTTGTAGAGCTCGTAAGAATTCTTTATCCCCATACGGCTTTGTTCTACAAGTGTCATACATTCGATTGATCTTTTCCCGAATCTCTACAATTATCTAGAACTAACCTACAACGAGTAGCTGACTGGAAAGAAAAAAATAATATGGAAAGAAAGAAAGAAAGAAGAATTTTGCTAGGTAACACCGAGGTGAAAAGTAATAAGTCTCCTTGAGTTTCATCCAGTCGACTTAATGAATAGCAGAAGAGGCTGCATGAATACAATGACTTGATTATATCTTAAAATCCGTATAACTTCTGAACCAAGCTGTATGGCGAAAAAAGATTGTCATATTCTTATTCAGCACAGCGAACACTACAAACTAGGCTATATCCCATTCAAAACTGGAATTATTTCACAAGATAGCGGTATTCCTTACTTGATACGGCTCTATTATTAGGAATTAAGTAAACAACGAGATATCTCGTTCCACATAAGGTATCCCATATGCCGATATTTTTTCGTCTCAGCGCGCCGCCGATAGAAAAGAAAGAGAACAGAAAGATATGCGAAAAGAGATATCCCGCTATTATTTGTTATAGTTTTCTAATAGAGCTCTAGCAGTTAAAAAGAATGCGATTGATTCTCATTCATTCTATTCTCATTCCCAGTTTTTCTCTATCTATGACTCAATTCTACTAATCCATTTCATAGATTTTCTTTTGCTTGTAACGCAAAAATGAGCCATAGATAGAGAAAAACAATGGGAATGAGAATAGAATGAATGAGAGTCAATCGCATTCTTTTTAACTGCTAGGGCTCAAATTACTTTTTTGTTGTTTTCTTCATGTGTGCATAATACAGAATAGAGAACTAGCAAATAAGGGGATATCTCTTTTTGCATATTCATATCGTTGTTCTCTTTCTGTTTTGTTAGAACTCTAGCGTATTTGTCTTTGTCTTTATCTCGTATATACGACATTAATGTTACATTCGGATATGGATATGTGGCATACAGAAAAAAAAAAGAACACTTACACGCTAGAATTCTATTGACTTGCTGAGGTCGTTTCGATCTCACACACATGAAAAATCTTATGTGGAACGAGATATCGCCTTATTTGCTAGATGTCTAGTGTGAAAAGGACGATCATTCGTATAAAGTCGTCCTTCCTACATAATACATCAAACCTGAGGTCTTTTCCCCATTCCATTGTCCGAGTTAAACATGATGACTGCAAAAACATCTGAATATAAAAATGCGCAGAAGTAAGAAACATATCAAAACCTGTATATCATCGAAAATGTGAGTTTTCTTCCAGTAAGCCCGCTTTACCGTTAGTGGCTTTCAGAATGTAGCGAGTATGACTTCGATCATAGAGAATAGTGGCGTCACCCGAACAAGATGCTAAAATGCTCGAGCAATCCATCGATATTATGCGACTATAGATACATTCATTCTTGAGAGTTCAAGCAGATGTTTTCTCCGCATATATTAAATACTGTCTTATTACTCAGATCAACAAATACTAGGCACTTGCCGAATCCAAACTGAGAAATGCAAATGGAGAAAACTTACTCAATAATACAAGAAATTTTTCTTCAAACAAACAAATATTATATCATATCGAAAACTTACATCAAAATAATTGAGTAGTGCGGTAAAAAATCACGGACCATAGTTAGAGGTAGAATGAGTAGTAGAAAAATAAAAAATGCTATGCACTTACTTACTTAGAACTTTCATGAGTTTTACCTTAAAAATAACTTCTTTCCTTTATAGATTAAAATTACGCCATGCTGAGAACCATATGGTTGAGAAAAACTCAAAAACAATTGAATTATGGTCCTTAAGAAAAGTTCAAGTGAACATCGTGCAATCAGACCTAAACCGAAGCTTGCGAATTTATAGAGTGGAGGATCGATTATGCCTGACATTCTTGAACTTTTTACATACATGCTAAATCCACCGCATGTCTCTTAGGCTTTGCATCAATAAGAGTCTTAAGCGCTTGTAGACTAGAGTATATTTACATTGTATAATATCACTTGTGCACGCTAGTAGAGTCCTACTGGTTTGACTTTTTCGAACTCTATCTCGCCTTGTAGGGTTAAAAACCCTTCGCCTTCAACAAAGCTTACGGTTTTTATTATAGGGTGTGACAAGGACCATATTCTCTACAACTTTGAGTAATGTTTCATGTAAGGATCACGCGATAATTTAAAAGCATTTAAAAATGAAACATAATTCTGTTTTATCTTCTTACTGTGAACTTGGACTGCATCAGCTACACTGTAATCTTGAATTATTTTGAATTTTATAGAAAACCTGAGGGTTTTCAAATTTATAGAATAGCACCAGTTTTCCAACTTTATAGAAAATGTTGACTTTCAAGATTCTTGAAAATCAAGGAGGATTTTCAAGCTTTTAGAAAATCGATTGATTTTCTACAAATAATTTCCAAGATTCTTCTTCGATCATCGTTTTGTTTTACATTCTTGTGTAAATATAAGTGCGAATATTTTCACACTTCGAATAACTTCGAATTTTTTTCCTTTTGGACCGCAGTCCGTCGAGGGAATTATTTATAGAAAATTACCGTTGATTTTCAGAAAGTCCATATATGAAATCGCCGAGGATTTTCTTGTTGGGAATTATGTACAGAAAATCAATGTCGAGTTTCAAGAATCTAGAAAATCGACATTGATTTTCTATAAATAATTCCCAACAATTGAGAATTCAATTTTCTATAAAACAGAAAATCCTCGGCAATTTTATATATGGACTTTCTGAAAATTAACGGCGATTTTCTATAAATAATTTTCAGGATTAGTGTACGAAGTCAGAACATAGACATTCTCTTACGTAACTGAATGTGCTCTTTAAAACTAAACTGGTTTTAAGTGAAGCGGAAAACCTTTTGTAAAATGTTGTGTGAGACATTTCAGATGGATTTATTCTTTATTTGAATTCCCAAATGTCTATAGTAGACAAAGACTGAGGAATGGCATGGTATGGCGGTTGAGAAAGTTTCAGTAGAAACTGCTTTGCGGTTTTATTCATCGTTCTTGCTCACTGTACGAAGTTATCTGCCGAAATTAGTCTCTTTAACAATCAGTGGTGGATCTATAAGCTTTTTGCGAGTTCGCAGCACTAAATGCACGGTCTAAACAATTTTTTCCGCTGGTGAAAAAACAAAATTTGCTGTGCTTATCGTAAATCCGCCACTGCTGATAATGCTAAAAATGGGTTGGTCAACGATTTAAATGACATCTTTACGTTAGATACTGTTGTAACCAATGTTTTAGTCTCGACGAGATCGAAACGAACATGACTGAAAACGTCGAAAAAAGATAGAATCATATGTCTGAAGAAAAATTTACCACCTATTGACAAAAATCTCGGTGATATTTGTGTCGGTATCAGAGATTGCCGAGAGTTGGAATAAACACATGAGGATCGGTGGGTCTTTTTCCAAAGGGCCGATGAAATTAGGACGTGATACCAATCCAACATCAGGTGCGGTAAGAAAGAGATCATCTTTTAAAATGTTACTCGTGAAGCTGTCCTTTAAGCATCCGATAGATATTAACAAAGTTGATTACCAGTTTGGGCTATTTTTTAGAGGGTTAAGATGAGAGATCATGAATCATCGTTAATGATTGATCGTCGTTAATGCACTTACATACCTGTAAGTGCATTAACGGGTGCATTAAGAAGTAGAAATTTCTTAAAAAAACTTATGTCAGATCTTATGTTTGAGTTAAGTGCGACTTACTTTTTCACTTAAAGCTTTGACTTAATTTTTTTTAAGAAACCGGCTCCTGTATTCTGCGCACTGGGCAATAAATCTGACTAAAAGGGAACATCATCCGGATTCGTCCATTCGAAAATTTTAAGCTTTTCTCCAAGCTGGAAATCTATGGTAGTCATTCGTTTTTCTATAACAAGAACAAACGGAAGCGAGAATGTCAAAGACAATAAAGATATGAATAGTCAGTTAGCCGATGAAGATTTTCTCTGTAATCTAAACATGATTTTCTTAACAACAATTATGACGAAATGTAATTCGTTAACCTGTTGTTTGTGAAACTGTTTTCTGCGATTCTGATCATTAAATACACAGCGTTGTATAGGATAATGAAAAGCGGAGAGACATATACAAAAGTAAGTCACATAAATAGCTGTTTAACAGATAATATCTTACAAGGGTTATCGTAAAATAACGAGCAGTAGAAAATCTTTTCTCTCTACTTACGGAAACTAATAAACCAATCAAATTATTTTCTGGAAGCTGCACAAACTTCAAGATAGATGTCGTAGCTAGCTGTATTTAAAGACCAGAAGATTGATTTCCGGTTACTTATCACAAATTGAAACTATTCGATTTCAAATTCGATAGATAAAAAACAATTTGCGCTAAAAACTTATCACAACTGCCTTTCAAGCATATTCAAATAATTGGATTTTAGATAAAATTATCAACGTGCGGCAAGCGAGATTCTCGCTTACAAACAAATATCAAATATTGATATTTGTAAGAATCCGATAATTTCGTGACTAACATTTCGCAAGGTCTTAGTAAGAGTTAGATCTGAACTTATCGTACGACACTTTGCTAGAACACTAGAACATGATATTTTGTTTATCACTCTAAAATCTGTACGATAAATATAGAGACACCATCCTATCCTTGCTAGGTTTTTTCTGCACTACTGGAATTGACATAAAATAGCAGAACACAAAGATTCTACAACTCATCGAAAGCCCTACAAACGGATACATGCAACCACTCAACTCAATATTTAGTGAATAAAAGAATAGACGACCATAGTGTCTACGACTAACTCTGAAAAGTCGTAAAGTAAACCTGCAAGCATGCAGGAACTGAAAAGTAATGCATGAAACGATCAGCTATCAATAGTACTAACTAAAATTAGTGGGAGCTGTTTTCCGCAGAAATCGTTCCCACAATTTATATTTCAGTGCTTACATGTTTTCCATAATAACTGCTCAAAATGTTGATGTCTGCTTTTAAAAGGACGAAGAGAAAAGAAAAGAGATTTCATGTATAAAATGATCAACCAGTTATAGTGAACAACGTCATTGACATGACGATGCCAGCTTCAGAAGAAGAAAGGAATGGAACATTTATTGCATTACGTCAGAAAAGACTAACATTAGTTCTATATATCTATGAATATGTTTCTGCGTCATGATATAATGTCGTATATAGAGTATGAAAAAGTTAAATAGGGAACAGAGATGAACGATGACAATAAATAGAGCAGAAAAAAAGTTTAAACATTTCTGTGCATATAAAGTTACGATAAGATACAATGATGTTCTAAAATGATAGGTTACTGCCTCAGATATAAACAGTAAATTAACTAACTAGAAAGCTATAATGAGTTTTTCCGAATGAATCCACTGTTATTACGTTCGTAATGACCGACATCCCTTCTAGTAATTTTAAACTTTCTCACTTTTAACAGTAAATTTAAATAAAAATATAAGACAAATGAAATCAACATTTTTTATTTCATGCAGCTATTTGCTTCAGCATATTCTAAAAATATTTACTACACAGACGCATGTTGACATGTTTGGATTGACTATAGCTTTTATCATTTCTACACGATATTCTCTGTGCTATCTTTTCGAGGTCATCAAACCTTTTCATGCATAGCATGACAAGATGTCTAACATTATCACTGGTTGAAGTTCCTGTCCTAGATCTTATAAGAATCTTTCAAACGAAAAAATGCATATGCATATACATTATCTATTTTTACCCTTTTCTTCCATTTTATACCTATAAGAGGGACTGTCCAATCTCATACCGACAACGACACATCTAAAGATCCGCCTCTACAAGAAACTTGTAACATTTAAAATAATTTCCGCGGAACACTTTTGAGGTACTGCGAGTTACATAGAGTATGGAAATCGATCAGGACTGTGGCGACCACGGGGTGCGGGGGGGGGGTGCGCACCCTCCCACTTTTTTTTGAAAAAAGCGAAAATATGGTAAATTAGAACAACTGCTCGATAATATTATAACATTATAAACTAAAATACGAATAAATGATCTTTCTGTAGATTGATGCATTAGAGTATGTTGAGAAGATTATATGCATAGGTTTACAACAAAACTATCAAAAATTGTTAGTTTTTCAGAGTGACCGTTTCAAAAACCGACTACCAGAAAAAGATCATATAACGTTGATCTTCACTATTGCACCCCGAACTTTTTTTCTTTCGCCACATCCCTGAAATCGACAAAACAATTTAGTGACTTTATCATCAATAAATTTTGTCATTTTTAGACAAGGATGTTTGGCGAAATATAAAAAGATGAAAAATCAATAAAAAATTAAAACAAGATTAATCTTGTCCGCTCAATAAAGTTAAAACTGAAGATTCTTGTCTGAAATGGCAAGAGACAAGAATCTCGGAAGAACAAGAGACAAGAACGTGGATCGAAGATCGTTCTGTTTCCCCATTATTGGAAGAATGAAAAAAAACGTCAACTCAACATGTGTACCGCAAGCATTAAAAGCTGTCTTCTCAACTGTTAAAATAATAGAAATAAGAATCACACTAGACTTCATCCTTTAAGTAGAGCAGAACGAAGATTAATTAATCTTTTAGCATTAAAATAGTCGGGATCTTTCGTTACACACCACGGATAGTGAAAGTTCTATTAAGCATACTGTTTCCACTCGCTGTGTAAAACTTGACATACTACTTACAGAAAGCAATTGTTTGTCAATATAAACAACAGTGGCACAAAATTTTTCCAATTCTTTTTATTGTGTGTTCACAAGAATAAAAGAGAGTCTTCGTGCAGAAGAATTACTAACAATTCGTTCTTATATAGACAAGTCGTCTCCCACTGTTCTTGCGTAAATATATGTTGTATATGCGTAGTTCAACAAAAAATGATGCTATGATGTTCTAATGCGTCATCATTGACGTAAATTGTTTGTATGGATTAATTGATGACATCCATGTGAAATAATAACTAAACAATCAAAATCTCTTTACGCTTTTAAAGGTGTGTTATTTACACAATCTTATTGAAGAAACTGGTGCATCTGAGTGCTCATTTCAAGAGTATCTTAGGCGATTTCGCAAGATGTTCACTAAAAACAATACAACTGAGAATCTAATAGAAGATGCCTACTATTATTGTATCTGATTTGAATGAAATTATGAGAAGAGAGTATTGTTGGAATTTAATTAGAAAACAATGTTTAAACAAGATAACAACATACATGACATAATAAAAAGTCGTATAAAAAAGAGCAAAAGACAATAAAAACACTAAAATAAACTACAAATACGATCGATTATCATCATCACTTAAAATTTGTGAATTTGACATTTGCTGTTGTTGTGGTTGATAATTGTCATACTCTGACTCTAAATTACTAATGACACTTTCGGATAATTGTGGTTGTGAGAAGTCAGATGTATCGGATCGGGGCATGGATGAATCTGTACCAAACACATCTTTATCACAATAACTATGATTTAGAATATGGTCCGAGGAACCACCATTTCGATGATAAGATGTGAAATTATTATTGCACGATGGTTTTGAATGATGATGTTGACTAGTCGACGATTGTCGAGATAAAACCGATGAACCTAATAACAGTGGTCTATTACGGTTTTTTAACGATTCATGGCGGACTAATTGTGATCTTTTCAGCGATTTATATCGGACATTATTATAAATATTTTTTTTGGTATCACTTAGTAGTAGTTGTTTATGTGCAGTACGATTATACCGTTGTGGACGATTGTTGTTATTGTACATTTGTTCGTCTGTTCTTGTAGGTTGTGGTTTAGAATTAAATAACGGAAGTTTTTGTTGAGTAAATGTATTTTCACTAACTGTGTCCGATTCATCATCTGAATCGGAATTGTTTTGAATAACAGCAGGTGGTATCATGTAGAGCTGGGAGATGTCTCATTTTAATCAGAAATTTGCGGGCTACAATCATGCCCTATTAAGAAATGTTTTGGTTACTTTTTAGAGTTTCTGAAAAACTGGTTTTCCGGAAAATCCGGTCTTCGGAGGTCCATAAGCAAAGACCATTGTGATATTCGGAATCAGCACCCTCGATTACCTATTGTCCAAGATCTTGTAGAATTTTGCTAGATCCTATAGGATTCTGTTGTAGGATTTTATCTGCTTTTCTGCTGGTTTATCCTACTAGGTTTATTGTTTTTATTTGTTTAATTATTCTCTGACCCCAGCTAGCCAGAACCATGTGATTCTGAGTTGGGATAAGCCCATGAGTTGTGAGTCACTCCACTTCGTCGAACAGTAGCGAGTTTCGATGGCTCACAGTGTTCGGTGTGAAAATTTGAGCCTAAAAGAATTCTTCATTTTCTACAGTACACTCTAAAAAAAAAAGTGTACCCAAAACTGTTCCTTTTAGGAGCCGCTTTTCGCTGAACATTTTTGGAAAGATCACTTCTAAAATGGCCACCACAAGAACACTGTTGAAAAGTAATCTATAGTAGAACACTTTAGAAAAACAATCACTTTCAGAACAAGCGAGCTGAAGTGGTAAAAGTGTTTCAAAAAAGAACGTTTTTTGAAAGTATTCCTTAGTGTAGCATTTAGAAACCGCTTTAAAAGAAAAACGTGGAAAATAGGAACCGTTCTTTTCAGCTACGCATTTTTTTTACAGTGTAGAATTGTGTCTATATTAGAGTTACTGCAAAACAGGTCGGTGATTGTGTTCTCATAATCAGAGTTGATTCTAGCGTAGTTCGATAGAGAACATTAACTTGTATAAGGAGAAACACTTTTCATCGTTCCCGAATGAAGTTTGACGCAGAAATTTCACAAGTCTTGGGCTTATCCCAACTCAGAATAATTGACAACGGACAGGAATTTTTTTAATAATAGTCTCTTGTTCAAAAACTTAACAATATCTTTAAAGTAATTAATTTTTTTCTCAGCCAAATAATGTCAGTATGCCGAGAAAACTTCAGGACGTATACTTCGAAGTATCGCCCGCCCTCTTAATCCACACAATAAACACTTTGGGAATATCAAGGCTAGCTAATTTTCCCAGACAGCTAGTTCACCATACATAGCACCCTACACTCTAAAAAAACATCGTAGAATAAAAAACTGAAAAGCTTTTTTCAGTTTGAAACGACACCGAACACTTTTTTGTATTTGAAAGTGCTCAAAAACCCTGCAAAAAACTCTTAAGGATATGTCAATAAACTTGAGTTTACTGAAGGGTTTTTCGCAGGGTTTTTTGAGCACTTTAAAATACAAAAAAGTGTTCGGTATCGGTTCAAACTGAAAAAACCTTTCGGTTTTTTATTCTAAGATTTTTTTTTAGAATGCAGTTTGAAGACGAAAACCTCATATAAATCCCGACTGAGAATTATCCAAAATGCAGCGATTCTTCAGAATTTTTGAACCTTACCAAGAACAACCGCGCTAAAACCTTTAGAAAAACATCTGGCAATGAGATCAGGTGAGTGTCGGCTACTGGACAAATCGATTCCTTTTGGGCAAGTAGTTTCATTCTCACAGTTTTCCAATAAGACGAGCCCACAAAGGTTAACAATGACACGTTGAAAATTAAAAGATAAAGGTCGAAATTCCTTGCGCATCACAAGACAGTTTCTTTTTCCTACTTTTAACGACTTTAAGAAGTTCTTTTAGAGTAATACATGGTATTGTGTCATCACTATTATCCCAGACAATTCTCGGAGGCTACATACGGGTGAGGTCTAACTACCTCTTGTTTTTCAAATAATTTTTCGTAAAAATCGGTTGCCTTCTATAACATCTCATCAGTTTCCCTAAAAACCACTCCGTTCTCATCTAAAAAACCTTTCAAAGAGGGTGAGGCTTTAAAGTTGCGTTTAAATTTAGACCAAGCGATGCTTTCGAATCGGAAAATCTTTCTTTTAAAAATTGCTCCAGATGTTTGAACAGAAATAAACGGAGTTCAATTCTTGCCTCTTTCTTAAGTTGTTTGGCTTTAGTTTTTATCTTCAAATCACCTGCTCTTTTAGCTTTAAGTGATAGCGCTCGCATATAGGATAACTTTCGTCTTAGCTCTTATGATAAAGCAACGGGATATTTATTCAAAGAAAAATGAGAAGTGCAGCGGGCTGGTAACAATGATAAAAAGGAGACGGAATGACAATATCCGTCCTCAACTGATGAGATTCTCCAGTGCACTTCCCAGAAATCAGCCACAAATGACAAAAAATAATTATAAACTTTGCAATGAACTTAGATACTATATGCCCAATCAGTCAGTATTTCAACACCCTTATCTTTTAAATCCTCCATATCAACGTTGAAGTTACCCAGAACACAACAATTTAATGAAATAAAACATAAGAGGTCTTCTGAACTCTACGTTTTGCTTTCTGGAGCGTATACTATTAATAACCTAATCTCCTGATCAGGGAAAACATCTTCCATACAAACATTAGGTATATCACGCTGTACCCGCTTGCAGTTGATAAATGTTCGATGAACAATGATCGCACTACCCCAACTATTCTCAGCCTATTGATAAAAAAATCTGTACTTCGCACATATGGTTGCAAGAAAATTAGAATCAATCGAGCCAACTTTCACTAAGACCAAAAAATCCACCTGATACTTATCAAAATAAAGGAGAACCTTGTACCACCTCCGATAATTCGATAAAGCAACTCAACAGGATGGGAAACGAGAACCATTCATTTGCAAAAAGGAGACATCATTTTCGATAAAAAAGACTTAGTAAGCGAGAGCGCCAGATACATATCGAACCTTCGCTTAGACTGATATACACTAGGGAAAAACTCAGGCGCAAAAGGAGATACCCTAAACAAATTTTTTGTTGATAAAACTGATAAGATTCTAATAAGAATCTTATCAGTTTGTTAGATAAGATTGTTTAAGATTTCCCATCGGCAGTCGTAAGTGTCTTATAAGAATCTTATAAGATTTTCATAAGAGGTTCGTAAGAAATTCATAAGAAGTATCAAAAATTCTTATGTTATTCTTATTTACTAGAAGGCAGCTTATGAGCTGTTTTGAGTAATTTCTGTTATGATTAAGTTGCTTCTATTGGCTGGAAGACTTCATACGCATTTTTGGTACTTGTTATGAATTTCTTACAAACCTCTTATGAAAATCTTATAAGACACTTACGACTGTCGATGGGAAATCTTAAACAATCTTATACAAGAAACTGATAAGATTCCGATAAGAATCTTGTAAGACACTGGTAAGAGACTTAGACGTTTCTGGTAAGATTCTTATATAAGAATCGATGACTAGGATAACGTCATTGTACAGAAATTTGATCACCATTCGATAGCGTCTTTAGTAACTTGGATCGTTGTTCATTACATAGCACATATTGGTCTTGCAAATTCATATGGTAGTCACTTAATTAATTTTGTCTCAATCTACATTAACTTTTATTATATGTAGTCTATATACCGTAAAGGAATAATTCAGACTAAAATAAAATCGACAGGAAATCATCTATTTTTGCCTCCATTTAGACTAATTAGACTAAATTTCTGACTAATGAAATGTCACAGGCAAACGCTCGCTTTTAAGATTATCCTTGATACAATGTTTCAGTATTTATTTCCAACGTAGTACTCAATGTTTTTTTAGCAAAAGCTGAGATGAGGGTTCTCTTGATTCTTGACATTCTCTTGATAATAGCAGGTATGAGAATTCAGAACTTGTCGTCTGGCTCGCATGCTGTTTTTTTAAAAGCCACATCTAGTCTTAGGGCTCTAGTTAATATTTAGTTTCTTTTTAAAAAAATTGTAAGTACTTTGCTGTATATAGATCACTGTCAGATTTATAATTAAGACATAGTAAAAGAAGGGTTGAATCGAAATTGAGCAAACAAAAACCATAGGTGGAAAATCTAAAAGAGAAATCTTGCGAAGAATTTTAATTTTATTATTTAGTTAACAGAGTTTTAAATCAAATTGAATTCATTTTTTACAATTAAACTATTTAATTGACCAAACTTTTGTGACTAACAGAACAAAATGGTCTGCAGTAAAATCGAAATTGGAAGTTAATCCGACAAATATATGTAACCAGACACATCGGACGAACAAATTGATGGAATACTAGCTAAAATTGGCGATGAATATATTCATTGGAAGTAGAAAAGCATATAATTTAATAAGATAAATTCAATAAACACAACTGCATAAACAAGCAACTTCTCATTTTGCTGTCGTATACCTGTGATGATCATTTTTCTGCCCACTTTTTGTAGTTTATATCTCCTACTGTTTTCCTGAATTCCCATTTGGAAAAAGTCTCTGACTTACTCATTTCATTTTCGGCATTACATCAGAAAAGATTAACGTATCTATGGTGAATATGTGCCCATGTACTAAAAATCGCATAAAAATCGACAATTAATCGTGAGAAATCATACGTTTAATCATGCGCTTAATCGCGATTAATTGCCGACCTTTTGGTGATTTTAGCGATTAATTGACGATTTTTTTCTTGGTAATAAGTTCGAACCCATCTTATGAAATACATATTTTTTTCTGTTCTTTCATTGTTTATTATGTATAACGACATGTATATCACCCAGCAAGGGTCTTAGCACCAGCTGAAGTCGGAACCTTTCCGACGAGTCGATTTTAGGCATTGCCCAGATACCAACTGTTCACTGAGCTCCTCGACTTAAAGCTCTGAGGGATCAGCGCGAAGACTTGATAACTCCGTTTTACTCTAAAATAAAATGATGATCTAAATAGAAGTATATTTCTCGTTGAAATCGTGTTTCTTATATACATACTTAACTGCAAAATAAAATGGTGAATGACAATAACCATTCAATCGCTTAAAATCAACAATTTAATCGCCATTAATTGCCGATTTTAAAAAAAAAGAAAAATCATCGGAATCGCCAATTAACCGCAATTAATCTGCGATTTTTCAAGAATCACCATTAATTGTTAAAAATACCGCAGTTTCGTCGACATGGATGTCTGCGTCATGGTATAATGTTGTATATGAATATGAGAAAGTTGAAGAGGGAACAGAGATGAACGATGACAATAAATAGAGCAGAAAAACAGTTTTTAAACATTTGTGTGCATATCAGAAACCATCGTAGGACAGGGCTGTCCTGTTGTCTTGCCGCCCTGCCAGACGCCTGGCAGCACCATATATTTTTTTGCCCTGTCCTGTTACAGAGCAGGACAACAAAAACTGCCCTGCGAGAGATTGATTTTTGAGATTTTCAAGCCTCTTTCTGAGTAAAATTTTGAGATCTCTCGTATATGTGAAAATAAAAATGACAGCCAACTTTTCTAGAATTGATAATTAATAAAAATATGATTCTGTTACGCACGAGAATCCAGTATTTGTGATGAGTTTCTTGAAGATAAACTCTTCTAGGTTAAGGAGAAAAACTTTTGAGCTGCAGGGCAGGGCCAAAAAAAATTTATCAGTAATTTTCTGACAGGGCAGGACCAAAAAAAGTTGGTCCATGATCTCTGGTGCATACAAAACTACAATGACGTTCTAAAATGATAGGTTAATGTTTCAGATATAAACAGTAAATTAACTAATCAGAAAGCGATAAGGATTTTTTCTTTTTTCCTTCGTTTATCATTTCCAGATGATCTTCTCTGTGTTATCTACTAGAAGTCATCAAACCTTTTCATGCATATACTACAGCATGACAAGATGTTTAAAATTATCACTGATCGACGTTACATAGAGTATGGAAATCGACAAAACAATTTAGTGACTTTATCATCAATAAATTTTGTCATTTTTAGACAAGGATGTTTGGCGAAATATAAAAAGATGAAAAATCAATAAAAAATTAAAACAAGATTAATCTTGTCCGCTCAATAAAGTTAAAACTGAAGATTCTTGTCTGAAATGGCAAGAGACAAGAATCTCGGAAGAACAAGAGACAAGAACGTGGATCGAAGATCGTTCTGTTTCCCCATTATTGGAAGAATGAAAAAAAACGTCAACTCAACATGTGTACCGCAAGCATTAAAAGCTGTCTTCTCAACTGTTAAAATAATAGAAATAAGAATCACACTAGACTTCATCCTTTAAGTAGAGCAGAACGAAGATTAATTAATCTTTTAGCATTAAAATAGTCGGGATCTTTCGTTACACACCACGGATAGTGAAAGTTCTATTAAGCATACTGTTTCCACTCGCTGTGTAAAACTTGACATACTACTTACAGAAAGCAATTGTTTGTCAATATAAACAACAGTGGCACAAAATTTTTCCAATTCTTTTTATTGTGTGTTCACAAGAATAAAAGAGAGTCTTCGTGCAGAAGAATTACTAACAATTCGTTCTTATATAGACAAGTCGTCTCCCACTGTTCTTGCGTAAATATATGTTGTATATGCGTAGTTCAACAAAAAATGATGCTATGATGTTCTAATGCGTCATCATTGACGTAAATTGTTTGTATGGATTAATTGATGACATCCATGTGAAATAATAACTAAACAATCAAAATCTCTTTACGCTTTTAAAGGTGTGTTATTTACACAATCTTATTGAAGAAACTGGTGCATCTGAGTGCTCATTTCAAGAGTATCTTAGGCGATTTCGCAAGATGTTCACTAAAAACAATACAACTGAGAATCTAATAGAAGATGCCTACTATTATTGTATCTGATTTGAATGAAATTATGAGAAGAGAGTATTGTTGGAATTTAATTAGAAAACAATGTTTAAACAAGATAACAACATACATGACATAATAAAAAGTCGTATAAAAAAGAGCAAAAGACAATAAAAACACTAAAATAAACTACAAATACGATCGATTATCATCATCACTTAAAATTTGTGAATTTGACATTTGCTGTTGTTGTGGTTGATAATTGTCATACTCTGACTCTAAATTACTAATGACACTTTCGGATAATTGTGGTTGTGAGAAGTCAGATGTATCGGATCGGGGCATGGATGAATCTGTACCAAACACATCTTTATCACAATAACTATGATTTAGAATATGGTCCGAGGAACCACCATTTCGATGATAAGATGTGAAATTATTATTGCACGATGGTTTTGAATGATGATGTTGACTAGTCGACGATTGTCGAGATAAAACCGATGAACCTAATAACAGTGGTCTATTACGGTTTTTTAACGATTCATGGCGGACTAATTGTGATCTTTTCAGCGATTTATATCGGACATTATTATAAATATTTTTTTTGGTATCACTTAGTAGTAGTTGTTTATGTGCAGTACGATTATACCGTTGTGGACGATTGTTGTTATTGTACATTTGTTCGTCTGTTCTTGTAGGTTGTGGTTTAGAATTAAATAACGGAAGTTTTTGTTGAGTAAATGTATTTTCACTAACTGTGTCCGATTCATCATCTGAATCGGAATTGTTTTGAATAACAGCAGGTGGTAATGGCTGCTGTTTTATTTGATATTCAAACATATTCAGTTGATCTTGTAACCAACGTTGTAAAAGTTCATTTGTTTCACATGGTGATGTCGGATATCTAAAAATATAGATGCAAAAACAACGCAAAGTGATTGAAATTATCCCAGAGCTAACTTTCGTAGTGCTTACTGTGAATCATCGTGCGAACACTCATCTTCTCGTTGCAATAAATCTAAGAGATTACTATGACTTGAGGATAAACGTACACGACCTTTGTTAATCATGCTTAATGGCCTTGCATATGCACAATTTTCTTTCCATAATGCTCGGGTCTCATTACTTTTTTTATTATTCACAGGTTTTATGCGTTTTTCATCAATACTATCAAGCAATGAGATTTCTGATGTGTCCGAAGTTTCTTGTATTAGTTTTCGTGCTAGATTACGTGGTGGTTTATTACGGTAATGAATGATGGTGGGCTTTGGACGACTAGTTCGTGCAGACGAGAGAACAGACAAATTGGGCTTTTTGTAATAAGCGACATTTGGTTGTACAGGATGTACCATAACATCGGTGGTTGTTGATGAAATATTTTTTGGTGTTAAACCGGTCATTGTTGTTATACTCGTATTTGATGGCGACGTTGCTTTCAAATGAGTGTGTGATACTGGTGAGATTAATGTTGATTTTGTTTCAATACTTTGTTCGTCTTCTGTTGTACTCATATTCACAGTAAACGATAGATCAGATGGTCGTCGTGGAAAATAGCAATCTAATGATGGACGAATGTGAGATGGTGGTGATGGAGTCTTTATTTTTTCTTCAGTAAGCAGTTGATCATTTTCACACATTATTACGGGTACATTATAGTTTTTATCATGTTTGAACTTTTGTTTTTTATCTTTTGTGATTTTATCACTTTCATCCCATGAAAACGACGATGATTCTTCATTTGTTGTTGAAAGACTATTTTCTTTCGTTGGCTCTTTATTTACAAGAAGTCGACGAAAATCTTCTTCTGTAAAACTTTTACGTTCAGGTATTTTTGAATGGTGACTTTTTTGACTAGATTGGGTTGATTTTGAGCAAATATCATCTAGATGAAAAGAAAAAGCAGTTCGCCTCCTGAGAAACCCAAAACCAAGCATATCTGGTTATAACAGTTATTTCTCAGTAAAGTTGCCAACAGGGTACTGTCTGTATAGAACAACAAATGCAGTTTATACGTTCAAAAATTGTTTATTTACCTGACTGACAACTTCCTGTCAACATTTTTTGTGTAAGTATTAAACATTTTCCAGAATCGCCTTCTCCTCCACTATATCCTATTCTCATGTTCATATCTTTTCCGTTGATATTTTGTGTATCTTCATGCGATGACCAACAATTGTCGTTTATATGAACCATTTTTGGTAATAATTTTTCGAGTGAATCAATTGGACTATTCGTTGTTGATGAGTGTAAAATAAATGGTGGTGGTGGTGTATGTTTAGTATTACCATGATGACGATTATTATTATTACTTTCAATGTTCAACGACGGTGAACGTGATGAACTTTTATTTGAACGTAAACAAAACTTTTTTACTTTCATATTTGTTTGTTGATGATTTGCGTCACTACCACAACCGATTAATGCACGCAATAATGTACTACGGTTTATATAAGATGATTGTTCAAAATTATTTGTAACCATTGATGACAACGATGAATTGATACGAACATGCTTTTGACTCAATTTTTGTTCTTCTCCTATCTGTTTCTCTAATACGACTAGAGGCGTTTGTTGATCAGTTGACGATGATGTTGATGTCGATGTTGTTGCTGGTTTTGTATTGTTTGGATGAGAAGAGCCATTTGGTAAATGAGATGAATGACCAGAATCAGTACTTGTCGATGTTTGAACAGTATTCGTAAACGGTGTTATGCCAATATTCAGTGGAAGAGTATTGCGCCCCTGAAAATAAGATGTAGAAAAATATTTTCTTATACAAAGAAGAACATTGCAATCAGAAAGATAAATAGGAAATGACCGTGAGATCTAAATGAGAACACGATGATAAATAAAGATGCAGAAGAATTTAGATGCAATATTTTTTTTTGTAGTATTATCTTGACAGTAAAGAGTGGGAGATTGTTTTTCTTTTAAATTTTCAACAGTAAATATCTTATATTTATTCTCAGAAACTACACATAATGATAAGAAGAAGAATATATATATATATATATTGCCTGATCGAATTAATAGTATGATATAATAGTTGTCAAAAATGCTATTGATTAAATTAAAATCTTGGAGTATAAAAAATACTTATGTAACGTTTAATAAATATACAACACAAATTAGTGTTCATCTATAGAATGAAACACGCAAAAGTATTAGGTAAACAAAAAAATATTACCTGAAATATATTATCTCCGATCAGTCGTCCAAGAAGATAATAAATCTGAAATGTTGTTGTATCATTATTTGTTATTGTGCCAGCTGTTCGAAATAAATAGAGATCTTTTAATGGTGTATATGCTGTTGATGTTGTGAGACAATGATTTGGTTGTGTTTTATTTAATAATCGGTTTATAAGTGTAATATGTTCACTCCATAAATCTGTTTTCAATTGTTTTTCTAGATGTAATAATATTTCATTAACTGTGCCAATATGAACACAAGAACACAATCGAATAGTTAAACCCAATTGTTTTTTCTTTAATAATAATTTTTCTTGTACAACAAATAGTAATTCAACTATTTGCTGTAAATATTTTGTTGAATCATTTTCGGTATTTATTGAAAATAATATTTGATAAATAGATGATTTTATATTTATTGTTATATTTGAGAATCGATCGGTTTTTGCTGTACAATAAACTTCTTTTAATAAATTATAGAAAATTTTTGTTTTTGTTAATTGATCAACTTTTGTTGTTTGTTGTTCATCAACGTTAACGAACTGAATTAATAATAGAGCCATTTCATCGTGTTTACAATGATAATGCTGAGATAATGTGCCAATTTTTGATTCTAAATCTGACTGCAAATAATAATCAATTGCGCGTTTAGGTATCACAGTTGAACACTGTTTTATATCCAATTCACGTTGTTTATAAACGAAATATCGTTCTGATTTAATTGAATTTAACCAGACATAATCAATCTTTTCTAACCATTCTTTTAAGTAAGATATTAACATTAATAAACATGTATGAATAATTAATAATGATAGCAATGTATAATGATGAATATGTAAGATGAAATTGTATAAACAATTGAGCCATACATATTGTAGCCAACATAATTGAATTAATGTACATAAAAACAATAGAAAGATTTTAATCAACCATGAACATGGACGATAATAGACACAAAAATATAATGGAAACATACACGATACCGTTAAATAATCGTAATAACGGCGATACAATACCATTTCATTATTGTAGTAACTAAAATCGAGGAAAAAACAATAAAATGACTAGTTTTAACAGAGAATAACAATTATTGATGTTTACCTTATTAAAGAAGCATTTTGTGAGATATTCATGTTTGAATGGTTTACTGTTATATTGTTGTATCGTCGTAGTTGAATATAAAATTGTTGAAAATTATGTACAGCATGCCATTGCGTAGTGACAAATAAGAGTCCCGTTAAAGTGATACAAATAAGGATGTTAATATAAACATAAAATTTAACTGAATTTGTGGTAGGATTTTGTTTAATTGAATAAAAAAATAGAATAATAATAAATAGTGTACACACTGAACATATGTAAAATAGAAAAAAGTAATAGGTAAAATTTTTTATAATAAATGCGTGACATAATAGACCAGATAGAATAAGAAGTGTATAAATAAATGTAAAGAAAGAAAATGTTTTGGTACGATGATATTTTTCAAATGATAATAGTGAACCATTCGAATTATAAGAATTATTATTTTCATGATTGCTACTCAATTTTGATTTTAGAGTTAATGTAAGCCAATTAATATGTTTTGATGTTAAATCGATAAGACTTCGTTTACGTAATGATCGAGTCAATGTAATAGTACCTGAACAAAGAAAAAGTTTATGACACTTGTTATGAAGAAATTCAAATATAAAAAATTATTTTTCTACAACCTTCTCTTTTCTATATAAAAATAAAAATTCTGTATAAATTAGAAAAAAATTGTTAAGTAGCTAACCTAAATGTTTTTCAACATGATATTGTGCTTGTATTCTTGCTAATTGATCTATCATTGTATTTGTTAATGGTAATAATGTTGTTAATTGTTCATACATATTTGTTGTAAATAAAAAATACGTAGGATTTTTTATTTTTTTATTATTCCAAACTGAATGAAATTCATAAAATTCTGTATTATGTTTTAAATATTCATAAATATTTAATGATACATGTATTCGATTTTGAATACAACATTCGTTACGTAACAATTCTGCTTTATCAACTATTTCACCATCAATAAATAAAATTTTATCATCTTTATTATGTTTTGTTTTAATTGTAATAAGTTCGCCTGTTTCAATTCCAAATGTTGTTGACAATGACCATTGTGTAACATTATTGACATGTGCTATAAAACGTAGAATATCAATTGCTAATAGACAACATTTTTCAATTGTTTGTCTATCATCTTTATTAATTATTGTAAATAGAATATCTTCATTATCAAATGTAAAATAATCAACGTTTTGTTTCAATAGTATTTGTTCAATTTGACAATATAAAACGTCTAATAATGTGGCAATTTCTTCATTTGTATGTAAATTACAATTTTCATTTATTGTTATATTACACACTACACATGTACCAAATGATTTTTCACAATAACAATCACTATTTGTTTCATTTTTATGATCTGTATCACCATTAGTATAATGAGAATCTATGAACCAATAATTATCAACTGATGGGTTAATATATTGACTGTTAAAATACAAAAAAAAAGATGAAAAGATGTTACAGTTCAAATAGACCGACCATCTTAGTGTTTAGATATTGACGTGTGTGGATGTTAATTTTATATAGCCCGTAGTTAAATCATGATAAAGAGAGAAAGAAACACTCGATTTTAATGGTTTGAGAAACATTTTTTGAGATGTGAACGATGAACATCGTTTAAACCCTTACTAATCTCTTTTTATTCAAATTCAGTTCTCTGTTAAAATAACATACCTATTCGTTAATCCATTGCCTATTGTTGGTTGATTGTGACAGTTTCTGTGTATTATTTGTAATTTTTTACAGTCAACATTAAATTTGTTTTTTTCATACAAATTTTTTTCATATAGTTGAAAATAGAGTCGAATATGTTTGAGTAAATAAACATAATTTGTAATTCCAAACAGATTAATGACGATATGGTAAACTAGAAGAAATATAAGTTCACCACTTTGAACACTTGCTGCTACTGATGATGTTAATGATGTTAAAACGAATGTCAGTTGAATAGTCGAAACAGTAGCACCAATTATAATACATTGTACAAGTTTAAATGAAAATACTGAATAGATAAGCGTGATAGCCAGAGTCGAATGTACAAGTGAATAGGATATATAAAACTGTTGTTGTTTATCGTTAAATAATGACACCAATGATAAACAAACAAGTAATAGAAAGAGTATTAAACGTGTTAGAGGCCAACACCTTCTCCACAAACGTGCAACAATTAATACGAGTATACTTAAAATAGTTAAACATAATAATGAGAATGTTTTCAATTTCAATATTGATTGTTGTTGGTATAGTACAACGCTACATAAGAACAAGACGAAGTAGGTAAATACAATAATTGGCAAATATATTTTTAAGAATATTTTTGATAATTTTGTTAGAAATTTACAATAATATAAATTTAAATCATCATCATTCTCCATACGATGTAAATTTAATTTTGATAATAAACGTTTTAGAAACATACTTTAACCACCACCACCACCAATAATAAAACTATATGTCTGAAAATATTAAAACTGCAATGAATGATCTTGTTTTACTTTTTCTTGTGCAGATATCACAACTCTGGATTAGCTGCTTGGAATCCAAGTTAAAGAAAAGTTCTTTTATTGAACTTATCGCTCCATTCTTGTACATGAAACGAGAGCTATGCAATTTAAACCAACTCCGACTTTAGTCTTACCTAGATGTTACGTAGACTACCTGTATATGTTGTGACATGTTTTGTAAGTCAAGTTGCTATCAATGTGTTATTTCGCAAAGAGAACTGTAGCAAAGGTTAATGCTTTTATTGTTCCACTGAAGAGAATGTCAAGTGAAAGCGCAAACCTTTGTCCACTTTATGCTATTGTTTTATCTGTGACGATTGTCATAGACAGAACAAATTCGAAAAGTGATTCTGATGAGAAGGGTGTGTGTGCAAACTCTATCGTAAATGTTGACAATCGGACTCTATCGATCACACCGTAGAACAATCAAGTGTCTGTAGTCGGTACTAAACGTGTTGTAAAGAACTTAGTCAAACAGAGCAAACAAGAAGTCTCTCATCTCTCCTTGACACTGCATTCAGTTTTCGAATGACGATCACAACAAACAACGTTCACAGAAAAACAGCGAAACGAACTGTAGAAAGTTGAATGGGGTGTGGTTATAGGAAAACCCCTAAATCCAAAGTCAAGGTTACCAGATAATTTTCTCCCATCTTCATCTGTGTGTTGTATAGAGTACGCTGTATTTCTGTTATTTGAAGTATATTTGGACGACATGAACGAAAAATTGAAATGATGATGTTTCAGAAGTGCAGTTTTTGAGACGTTTTGTACCGATGACGTTAAGTTCAATTTGGTCAAAAGGATATGATATATTATAAGTCACAGATAAAATCCTGGTTGCCAAATTCAAGTAAACTACACACCTTCAACTAAACCTTGAGACCAAAGGTTAACTTTCCTGCTGAGTGTCTGCATGAAAATAATAGTGTCCAGTTGCTAGTGTTTAAGTAAATGTTTATATTATCAATCAAGGTCACCAGATAATTTTCTTTGTTTGTTGAACACTTATGTTGAATGATATGAAACTTCGTGGTTTAAAAGTAGAAGTGTACTTAACGCTATGTATTAAAAAATGATCGCACACACTCGAGACAATCATCATTATCACTCATCCTTCAATCTCTCACCGGAAAAAGCTCCGCATGATATACTAATACAAGTTTTCCAAAGAAGATTGATTAGAAACGTATTGAGATAAGAAGTATTTCAGTAACTATAATGAGTCGGAAATGGCAGGCAAGTTTCTTGATGTGTCCAGGTAAGTCATTGATCCTGATGAGCCCATTACAATCTGTTTCTAATGTTGGAACCACCGAATTTTCAGATTTTTTTCCTTTAAAATGATCGTCATGAGGAGGTATACACATCAATAATCAATTTAATTCTCTTACAACAATGAGAGAGTTATCTATCGCTCTCTTTCTCTAACTTGTATTTATGAAGTTATACATTTATTGATATATATATGTTGATAATATATCACGAATAAGAAGACTCTGTATTATTATATTATATATAGTATGTATATTCGTTTTTCATATAAATTATAGAGAGGTCAAGTATGAATGACTATTTGATTATTATTAAAAAAAAACATTGAAAAGGCACATAATGTTGATTAATCATGTCAGAAGTTCCCTACTAATCGTATTTAGACGATTAGTAAAGATAAAAGGGGCTACTAACGCATGTTATGCCTGTCTCTATTACAAATAAACTTTTATCTTTCTCGAGTTGTGAAAAGATGTGCATATTCTATTTAAACTAGAGAAAAAGAAACTATAAAAATCTGTCAAGAGATACCACTATCGTGAATTTTTCACTGCTGTAGGGCGAGTGATCTTAAAAAGTTGAATAAAATGCGAAATAGTTGCACAAATACAAACGTGTATGTTTTACACATATGGACAGTATATTATATGTATATAGATGAGGAAAAGAAAAAGAAAGTGAATTTTGTCATGTTCAATAATCGGTTTTGCAAAACACTGTTAAACAGTTTTTAAAAAAGATCATCTATGACTTAATACTAATACTCTAACGCAATCTGATCATCTTGACCTGTGTTCAAATAAGTTTGTGAAATATTCAAGCTTACTCTTTTATTCAGACATCTCGTCTTACAATCACACACACAAATTATTGTTAAAATAGCTTCAAAAATTCTTCTTAATTTTGTCGCAACATCGAAATCTAGATTCACTTGTTAGGTTTTTTCGTCTCTTATCATTGAATTTTTTCCTTTTATTTGATAAAAAGAACATAAACTAGTTGATATTGCCTAAGAGAAGCTGGTGTTGAGAAACGTTTTAGATATTGCTACGTAAGAAAAATAAATAAATTGTTAGAAACAGACAAGAGTTATCTAAATAGCTGTACACAATTGATAAAAGTTTTTAAATATCGAACTTTATTCTATTTCCGTCATTTACAGTTTCATTAATCGGAGAAGTTGGTATGAGAAAACTAGAGAGACAACATAGTTGAGAATCACTTTATATCGGATGAGGTCTATCACTTCATGACGTTTATAACCACAAATCTTACCCTTTTCTACACAAAATGGCTTCTTCAAAGTGTCGTTGTCCATTAAAGTATATCTTTATCTTTCCTAGTTATATTTCCAAACTAATATTGTTGATTCCCTGAAGTCGACTAACGATTAAAGTAAATCCTCTTTGTGTAATAGTCAAGAGATTTGAATAATAAAATTGTGTTGTCATATTCATATAAAGAAAAATGAATTTAGAATATCAATGAGTTGACACACACACACATTTATGATGCAATAACATACAATCTTCCCATACATACATGTACATTTAATGTGATAAGACGGCGAGAGAGATGGTACCACCACTTTTTCTTTTAATGGCGAACATATCTTCTTGCTCTCTATGTGAACGGAACTATTATTAAGCTACTATACATACGTATAGTCTATACATAATGGGGAAACAAGAAAAGAGAGAAAAAGAAAAAAATTATTCTATTTTTTTCGTTTGTTGATGATTATTACTATTATTCCTATGTATTATGTTTTTAACATCAGTAACGTGTAGGTGAAATAGCGACCAGTGGTCTATATCTTACACTGCATAAAAAGAGAGTATTTTTTTTTCTTGTTCTCTGTCTCCTTACTTTAAATGGTGCCAATTAGAAGAGGTATAGATCGTACATGACGTAAAAGTTTACGATTCAAATATATCTTTTGCTAAGAAAAAAAAGTGGCTATACGACAACGAAGACTGCTTCACTTCCTTCTTCTTCTTTTTTTTTTCGCTTAAAATACAAATAAAATCCTAATAATCTCGTTCTCACACTTTAAGAGAAAAAGAGAAGAAAAAAAAAGTTGTACAATCTTACTGTCCGTTTGTCGTCACTATAACAAGTACAAGAAAAAAAAAAAGAACTTTTCTCCTATTATAGATTAGAAAAAAAAGTGACAGGATGCTTGATCTAAAAGTCTATAGAACTCTTTATAGCAACGACACCATTTTGACAATTATCTATGAAGACTAAATTAGTTTTTTATTTCAGTAAAAACACATTTAGTGGATAGTTGTATCGAATGATTATAAATATTTGTTGATAAAAAAAACGTAAAATAGCTCTTTGTTTCCTTCAAACAAAAGTGTTCTATACAGAAAAAACAAATTAATTCGCAAAAAGAGCCATATTTACTCAACATTTTTATATGTAGAATATTACGCAGTTTCATAAAATAAATGGACAGTCATCAATAGTTTAGTATACTTTTCCATATGTAGTAAACTATTCTACACTAAAATCCATTATTAATTTTCAAAATATGATTTTTACTACTATACTGTACAGCTGTAGACAAAAGTTGATACGAATGAAGTTCATTATTATCATGATTATATGCGAATGTTGATTGATATAATCGAGAAAGAAAATGAGAAAAAAAGACAAAGAGCGAGAGAAAGAGAGAGAGAGGGGGGAGGAAAGTTTTTTGTTATAAGCATCATTTACACTATAAACAGAGACAATCATCTATATAATCAATGAAACGGGACATAAACACAGATGGTTGCAGAAAAGAAAACACAACATATAATGCATAAATTAAATGTGTTTCTCAGCTGTTTGCAGTATCCTAATCAACAAAAAAAAAAATTCTTATTTTATCATTAACTATATCATTTTGTTATCTATCATTATTCTCTCTTTGTACTCTTCGTAACTCTGGTCAAGTGTTACTCTTTTGTCTTTAAGAAAGATATTTAGCTTAAAGCAATTATTAATAGAAAAAAAAATTGTTATATTACATGAACACAATAGTTAATTGAATATGAACGGTTCATCATAGATGTTTGTTACACAATGGTAGCATTTTCCAAGGTTTATAATCCTACGCATGCATACATATAGTTCAACACTATTAATCATAGAACATGCCAGGCCCCATCAATTATTTACATGGAAGGCCGGTCACTTCATAAAATTGTTATTTATATATTTGTATATATCAACAATTCGTTTTCCAAGATTCTTTTTTATATGTAATCATCTTAAACCAACCATAGTCTAATATTTTTAGAATTCTCTCTAGCTTTTTATCCATGTAATTTTTCAAGCAGAATAAATTCAACTAATGTTAAATTGTTACTGTTTGACTTGTTATCTAATTCTAATCCTGACCTCTCATTTCATGGTTATTTAACGTTATTTGAATGATCTCTCTAGACTATTACTTGTTTTGTGAGAATACACAGTATGGCTTTTATCCATAAATAATATATTCACCATCTATCAACAGGAACTCAATTAATCACTATAGTGGTCATTTCAACAGTGCTCTCTTTTTCTTACTATCTTAGTTGTTCATAGTCAGTAGTCATGATAGATTTATCTATTTTTGTTTTCTCTCCATGCATATGTATATATATATATATATAAAAGTGTGTCAGCAGGACGTAATAGTATAATCAAAGTTGAACTTGAACGTCTGATTCTATGTTAGTTAGTTTAATCTCTCTCCTTCTTTCTCTTTCTCTTAGATATGGTGCATTGTTTTAACTATTATTAGAATTGTACAATTGGTTACAACAGACACTTAACCGTCGAGACACAAAGTGCCACTTTTACATATATGACTATACTGGGGATACTGATTAACTTAAAGTAGAACACTCAAAACTAGGTTTCAATCAAGTATTTTGAGGACGAGTGATAAAGACAGAAAGCAAAACAGCAGAAAATAGTAAATTCAAAATCATAACTGGAACTTTTTTCTTAAAAAGATATTAGAATGGTGCGACATATAGTCGTTGTTAGTAGTTCTTTTTCTCTACCGTCTGTGAACGATGACCTGCTGACCATTGGTACAAGTATATGTCATAGAAGGACGCGTATTTTCTCAGTCAAATAAATTGAAAAGAAAAAAAATGAATCTAACCGTACAGAATACGATGTGTCCGTTTCATTTACAATTGAACAAGAGAGACGGATGATGAGACATTTTTTATTTTATATATTTGGACTGTGTCCGTTGTTTGATCTTTGTTCCATGATTGAAAGTAAGTATAAAGTGTTTATTATTAATGAAACCTCCTACTATTGATATTAAAGATTTTAAATGAATTCTAGTTTATATGGATGATGAAAATAGTTGTAATAATATTATTGATATTGGAAAATTGAATATACATTCTGGAAATATTTACTCACATCGAGATTTTAACGTGAGATGCTACCACAATTTCTTTTTCTTACTATTATTTTGAAACTATTTTTATATTATATAAATGTTATATGATATAATTTTAGAAAAATTATTTATATCTACCAGAAATTGACTGTATGATTACAATCAAAACCAAAAGTCGCATTTGGCTACGTGTAGAACACTTTAACACTAATTCAACATCCTTCCCCCGGTGTTTAGAGTACAAATATGCTAGTGTGGAAGATCGATTACAAATTTTTGACGTAAGTTTATCATTGCATGAGAGTAAATGGAGGCTGGATTCATGTTTAGCGTGAAAAATAACTGCTGAATACCTCAATTACTTTTAAGCTAAGCCTAAATTTTTATATCTGTATTGATTATAGTTTGTCCTCATTCACCTGACTTTGAGAGAAATTATAAAAGAGAAACAAGCAAAAACCATCCCTGAATGTCTCAAGCTGGTTCACAATATGCACTATGAACTTAGGAGAAAAATTTCGAGCTGTTTTGTTTTAGATGGGTTTGAATGTTCTCGAAAAGTGGTCTTTACTACAACGACTACTATTCAAACGGAAAGTTATGCGAAACTAGATCTAACCTCATATGAGCAAACATTGATACAGCTTCATTTTCATATAAGGTTAGATAGTGTTTTATGAATTCTCATTATATTGTATAGCAGAATTATAAACTTAAACGCGATAAACGAATGGTCACAGCCGACCATCGTTGCTATTAAGTGAAAAAGTCTTCTTTGTATAACAAAGTTTTCTTAAAATAATTTAGGGTCATCGTAATGGTTCATTACTGCGTATCGTCTGTGGCAGAGATACTGATAAAAATTTTGACTTATCGTTGTTATTACTCAAAAGTTCAATGTTTACTCTTCATTGGCAAACAAAAAGTCAAGCGTTTGGTTTCAAAATAAAATTTGTCTCTTATGAATTAGCCTACGAGGGTAACTCTCTCTCTCTCTCTCTCTCTTTCTCTTTATCTAGTTGAATTGATAGATGCGATCTGTATCTTTCTATATAGATAAATGTCGTCGTAATGAAAGTTTTCTTTGTGAAAATAAACGTTGTATCGATGAATCGATTGTTTGCGCAGACGAAGATCAATGTGGTGATGAAAGCAATCTTCGATTAGATAGACGAGTGCTCTACGGATGTCATCCGCAAAGTAAGTGTCTACACTTATGACATAAATAAATCGATGAACAAATCGATATTGTTTCTACTTATTTGTTAGATCTCAAATATGGCATAAATAAATTTCGCACTTTCATCAGTATTTTGATTGTTGTTATATGTGTTAGTTTAGCAATTATCATACTACAATGGTTTTTCAAAAGAAATTTAAGAAAAGGTTTTTAATAACATAAAAGGTGAGTTCACCATTAATTTCAAGTTGCGCGCGAGTTTTACATGGTTCATTGCAATTCTAAAATTAATGAATGACGACAGTTCTGTTAATAAAAAAAAATATAATTACAGAATAATTAGTTTTAGAAAAATTTGAAATTGGTTTTTTAATGCAATCCGGATACTATCAGAAAATGTAGCTAGACGTCTTTCTGTTAATATTTTTATATTACTCGTTTCACTGTAAACATTACTCCGCATCCATCGTGTTGAAAAAGATAAAATTTCTTTTATAACTATTTTTAAAACATGTACAAAAAACTTATAATACACTTTATTACTCTTCAGGTAAGTTCAAAAAGGATTGAGAGAGAATGGAAAGAGAGATTTCTGAGAAGTACTACAAAATTCCTATTTCTTGTTTTCCTTAACCTTGCATAGATTCCTATCATTTTGATTTAACACGATAATTTCAGAAATACGCAGTCTAGAAATAATAGTGTTGCTATTTTGCAGCTTTTAGTTTTGTGGTCTGTACATTCGATGGAATTGGAAGATTACAATAATCATGATGATAACATGGTGCAAATGCATCCGTATCAGGCAGCCAGATTGCTTCCATTGAAGTATCCATTAGTAGTCACACAAACAGAAATGTTGAATGAAAATATTGACAGCAATAACGATGATGATGATCAAAATGTAATGAAAAAACAACGTCGTGGTTCTCCAAGATCAAAAGCAAATTTGGCGGGTTTGTGGGGTGTACCTTCTGTTCAACGTTGGGATTAAATTAGATAACAAAATATGAATCATTAGTGTGTACAATATTCTATTCTGTTAGTATTAATCATTTTGTTCGATGGTGTCTTCTTGCTGAATTTTTTATTTAAACAAACAAAATGTAGAAACATTTTTAAAAACAAAATAAAAGTAAACTGATTGAATACAAATAAATAAAACAATGAAAAATAGAATAAATAAATACAGAGAATTATAAAAGTGACCTCCCATTATCTAGAAAATAAATGAAGTTATAAAACGATAGAGAATTTAGTGTTTATCATCCGTTCTATAATCAAAATACCACTCATTCTGTTATAGTCACCATTGATTGACATACAATCTTTGTCCTGTTCGATGTGCATTGCTCAATTCAGAGTAGCGGAAAAGCGTTGAATTTTTAGTTTCATTTGATTTCTTGCACTTGATCAAACTGCGCAATTTTATTTTTTTCGCATGATAGTTTATTCCACATTGTGAAATATTTCTATCCACAAATATTTTTTCAAGAATAACCAACATAAACACGACGTTGAATTTTACCAACTGTGATACATTAAGAAACCGATTATTCTTGTCTTTTGTTTCTTCGATCATACTTACATCATTTCGCCTTTAAGGATATCCCACCCCCTCCTTTTTGCAGAAAAGTTCCATTTTAAGCTGAACATAGTCTAATATAGAGGAAAGTCTAGGCTATAAAATGAGACCGCTCCCAGCTCGTCATGACTTTCCTTGAAAAATTATGAATTTTGTACCATTAGTTTCTCGAAATTACAAATTTTTCTCCAGAAAAGAATAGTGCGTGTATTTTCCATACAGATCATTCATCTTTTTAGAAATTTTGAAAATATTTATTTATTTAAAACGTTTTAAATAGAATCACATTGCATGCTCAAGATATATCAAATATTTAACAAAGAAATGTATCCCTAATAGAAATGTATCCTCTAATTGATAAATTAATAAATAATTCGTTTGAAATTTTGAGATTTAATGACTTTTCCACGCTATCACTCACATTTGTCTTCAAAACGCGTCTATTTTAAGGTATAATGACTCAAATAAAATCTTCATCTTAGATGAAAATTTTGACTAAAAGTCATCAACAATTTCTATATATAAAAACGTTATTTATTCATATTTTTATCGCACCTCTAGTGGAACTGAAGTATACAATGTATAATTCCACTTAAAAAGAAAAATGGTATATTTAAATCATCACTGTTGATACTTGCTGTTTTCAAGAATTGTTGCTTCTGTCGAAGTCTTTATTTGAATTGTCTTCGTTCTTGCAAAAGTATAAAACGACTTTTCTCAAAAGTAAAAATCGTAAAAATTCTGACGAAAGAAATTGAATATTGAAAAATATTGAAATATATATTGTATATTGTATATTGAAAAATATACAATAAAGATTAAGAAAAATATAAAACTCACAGAACTGAGTAAAACCTCCAGCCCTCTTTATTATAAATTTTTTCAAATTGCTGTCATTTCATTAATTGTATATTATTTTACATTCTGAAATTGACATTTTCTAATTTCAATTTCTTCTCGTATGGATAAATGATTGTGTTGACCCGTCGTTTTAATAAAAATATCATTACAATAAGTATGAACATAAGCTTTACAGTCAACAATTTCACATATCCAATATTTAACTTTCTTTGTCGAATTCACCGTTCGATAAGTATAATTTTTATATACAAGAAGATTTTTAATTTTATTACTGATCACAAACGATATCGTAGAAAAAGTTATCATGATTGTGAAATTTTAAGTAAAATTATATATTGTAGAATTGTAATGAGAATAAATCATACTTCTGTTCTATTCATATACTTTTTATTCAAAATAGAAAGTGAAGCTCCTTAATCGATTCAGTGATAAGCTTCTCGAAAAGTATTGATTAACTTCAGAAAAAACTTGCCGCCTTTTATGTGATTAAAGTGTCGCACAAAATTTTAGACTTTTTTTCATTTTTGACTTCTCTCATAAATAGTAGTAGCTGAAATAAGTCTGAGGATAGATTTGTGTAGATATATATGACTGAAAAAATTTCAATTTAATTTTTACATGATGAAAGAAAATATCTTTTAATAATTTTAAAAACTTAAAAGTTTTTAACTTTTTTAAAACCAGTTCAAAATGCTTTTTAATTATGCAACAAGATAGATCGGACTTTCTCCCTCAAAATGAGACATTCCGCAGCTTTTCATGATCTTTTTTTATCGAATTATTACACTGGAAGCCTTAACGCACTGAAAAATAATGCCTTTTTTCGACATTCCACTTTATGTGATTTCAATTTGCGTTTTTTACTTTTAAGAATAGTCTTTTTGTTATTTATACTTTTGCTAGACCTATGAATTACTTTCTTTGTTTGAAGAACACAGTTTGATGTCTTGCCTCTGATTTTCTTGTTTAGAGAATCAACATTACAAGTTCTTGCAAAATTGAAAATTTTAATGTTAAATCTACTTAAAGCGAAATAGAATCAAATAAAAAGATTTATTGAACTGAATTTCTATTTCTCAGATGTATAACATATCACCTAAACTTTGTGATAAAACGTTTTATATATTTTAATGATGAATTATTTTATTTTAAAACAGAACATCAAAAACTTAAATATACACATTGCATGCATTTTTTTTTTGACAGATCAGTTCATAAAAGAATGATAAAAACGGTTCTTTTTTTACGGAGGAGGTCTGTTATCATGCAATTTAGAGATTTATGTATATGAAAGTTATATGTGCATTTCCAAACACTTTTTTTTCCCTAAATTAATATAAAAAAAAAGAGAAAAGAGATTTTTTTATCGCAATATAAGAGTTAGAGAAATAAAATACTTTTCATATCCATTAAACAGACAATACGAAGAGAGAAAAAATATCAACACACTTCGACGACTGCCATCATTAACTGTGCGATTTAAATTTCATTCACAGAAATATTACCTAAATGGAACACAAACAATTATTTTCACTTGGTAAGTTTATTATAGAGACCTGATAATATCAACGACTAACCAGGTGAGTAAAAACGACGGAAAACGGTCTCTATAAGAAAATGATTTTTGACGCGTTTAGAATTACTAGCAATACTTCGCGCTTCACTTCGGACTTCCAGAGCTTCTTCTGAAAAGCTTCAAAGACAAATCTCTTACAATTATTTATTACTGTCCTAAACAATGACATCTATTCTGTATCCCAAGCTCTTCCCAGAACTTCCAGTTTCATAACAAGAACTTACACATAGGAAGACAGATAATTTTCTGCGCTTCAAAATGAGCTTAAACAAGCTTTTCAAAAATATGTTCATGTAAAGCGATTCTCGAAATAGTGAACTTAGGTACTGATTTTCATATTTGCAAGGACGTGGGTGTTTGAGTCAGATATCCTTTACCCTTTATACAAATGACTTTTTTCCGTCAGAAATACCTCGTGGAGGGACTAGTACTATTATCTGAAATTAAGTTTCTAGAAGGTTTTCAAAGCTGCATAGATTAGATACAGTTTCTTAGGATGATCAAGAATATCTGCTTGTAAGTGTCTGAAAGATCGTACGTTGTAATGAATTTTAAGTTTTTTTTCATTTCCGTATTTTCTTACAAAATCCATTTTCTCTATGCAGATCAAACTTTGCTCAAATGATTTAGAGACTTTAAACAGAGACCGTTTTCCATCTTTTATTTCATTTCCGGATTCTATTGTATCCATTCTGAGATTGTTCACTAGTGGTTTTTCCAACCAAAAGAGAATTTCTCTCACTACCATACTTTTGCAGTAAAATCATAAAAAGATTTTAGTATAGCTGATACTATGTGCAGTGCAATCTAGAGCTGTGCTATTGAAACCAACTCCGACTTTAGCCTTACCTAGATGTTAGGTAGACTACCTGTATCTGTTGTGACATGTTTTGTAAGTCAAGTTGCTATCAATGTGTTGTTTTGCGAAGAGAACTGTAGCAAAGGTTAATGCTTTTATTGTTCCACTGAAGAGAATGTCAAGTGAAAGTCAAAACCTTTATCCACTTTATGCTATTGTTTTATCTGTGACGATTGTCATAGACAGAACAAATTCGAAAAGTGATTCTGATGAGAAGGGTGTGTGCAAACTCTATCGTAAATGTTGACAATCGGACTCTATCGGTCACACCGTAGAACAATCAAGTGTCTGTAGTCGGTACCAAACGTGTTGTAAAGAACTTAGTCAGACAGAACAAACAAGAAGTCTCTCATATCTCCTTGGCTCCCATCTTCATTTCTGTGCTGTATAGAGTATGTTGTTTTTCTGTTATGTGAAGTATATTTGGATGATATGAACGTAAAGTTGAAATGATGATGTTTCTGAAGTGCAGTTTTTGATATGTTTTGTACCGATGATGTTAGGTTCAATTTGGTCAAGACTATAGAAGGATCTGATGTGTTATAAGGCATAAAATAAAGTACTGATTGCCAAAATTATGCAACTAGCGCACCTAGTGTACACTCGTAAACTGCGAAACTCCGCAAACTAATATTTATAATATATAAAGTTTCGTCAAATTTTTGAATAAGCTTGTCCAGCAATCGATTACACGATTTTAATGCGGATCGAATAAAAGGAAGCGTAGTTGCAATTAACCTTCTGAAAGTAAATACATTCTATGATATGGATATAGAAAAGGGAAAACTACTCTAGAAGTGTGATAAGCTGTCCTAATCTTACAAGTACCCAATCATCCACGATCCTTACTAGAAAAAATTTATTTGCTTAGCACAAAAATTCTACACTTTTTTATATTCAGAGGATGTAGTCTATACGATAGCATATAATACTATGACAAAAACCATGTTAGTTTATGTGCTTCTGAGAATAATGATTATCTAATTTATATAGTATTTTCTATATAGTACCGTATGTGGTTGACGAGATAAAAAAGACTGCATTCTTGGGTATTTTTATACTGAGGTTTAGAAGAAAAAAAATTCTGATTTGTCATCCTCGAACTGAATCAGTTTTACTGATTAAAATCCAATCAGTACAACTGTATGCAACAACCAATAGGTTTAATTATGGGACCGTCAATATAATTTATCCAAATACCAATCTAATTAAATATTTCGTCTAGTGGAATAGGGTAGAAGAGAGATCTTCTTACCATCTGCTAATACGAAAGAGTATACATTTTCTTTATGAATGAGCAAAAATTTTAATACACATAATAAAGTAACAGCAGTAATCTTCATTTTATTGAAATATATACATTTATTCTTGAAAATGAACTTTTAAAGTTCGAAATGTTGAAAATTTTTCGTTTTTAATTTAATTATATATATTTCAATAAAATGAAGATTACTGCTGTTACTTTATTATGCGTACGAAAGAGTATCCATGTATATTAATAGAGCGAGTACAATCAAACCACTTTTTATACTTATCCGTATTTGTTTTTATCTGTGACTCATTTTATTTTTAGCTCAATATTTTTTCCTTTACTTGGTTATTGTTCACTCAATAAAATCTTTACCCATCATTAACCGTGATGATAAAATATCATTAGTAGAACAATCTTTTCTACCCACTAACGATGTAATGTGGTCTAGGTGTTTTCTAAAATCATCACTCACGCAAGTTTTACGTTCTCGTCGTGCATCTATTTCAAGAGCATTTTGGAATACACAAGATCATCATGATGAAAAACGTTTTTCACCATTTTCTCCACGTTTGGGAAAACGCGAAAATCAACAGGAAGAAGAAGATAATGATGTTGTTGCTGTTAAACAAACTCAACCATTATTAAATACAATTGATATGAATTTTTTAAAAGCATTTTATACAGTACTTGCCAATTCGTTGGATTCAGACTCGAATGATGTGATATATCAAGATGATAAATATATCTGTGTTACTCAACAAATTATTGAAGATATTACAAGACAAGTTAATGAAATGTTTTATAATAATGCTAATAGAAGAAACGTATTTCAAGGTGATCACAAATATTTTTTACATCCCTATGAAAATGCATTAATATTTCGAGCACGTACCGGATAAAAGTTTCACATCATTTATTTGTCCAATATATATATATATATGATTGTATTAACCAAAATAAATAAGAAGTTAATAAGAAGCAATTTTCATATAGTTTGAATGAGAGAGGAATATTCTTCGTGTATTTTTAAAAAGTGATATGAAAAAATTCTCTATTATGTACTCTTTTATGTATTGAGCATCAAATAAAACAGTGCTACCAATTATTTTCGCATAAAAAATACGGACACTAAATACCAACATAGCCTATGACTCAAAGATTAGTAAATAAAATTAGCATTCCTCTAATAGCACACATCAACTTTCCCATTATTCAATACGATTGTATTAGATTATAATCATCTTTATATCTGATACATAAGATAAAGCAACGATTGTAGCCATACTGTTCAATTATTAACTATCATCAATATAGACTAAACGATGATTGATTCGAAAGAGTTGCAGTATGAATTTAATTCAAATAGATGATGTAATTTATACATTGTAAACCAAAATTGTATTCCTAACTTGATTGTTCTGTACACACTACATTTAGTTGAACAATAATATGAGTACTCCTCATATTGATACTGCGCTTTGAAACATTTCATGGTGAATAAAATGCTGAGTTACCTAACAGGATGTTAGGTAGAAAGAGCTGAGCACGATGCACCGGTAAAATAAGACGAAGTGGTTGGTGAACACTGTAAAATGCTTTTATTATGTGATGCAACATATAGTTCTCATTCACTCTTTATTATTGCTTCTAACAATCGGCATACCAAATAGAACAAATAGTTGTTGCCACTAGAAAATACTACCATCAGTAAAAAATTAAAAAAGATTCCCATTTTTACCAGTGACTTGCTCAGACTAGAACGTACTTCCTCGTTTGTCTTCATTTGGAATTAATATTTTTTTAAAAGTGAACTCAAACGACAACTACACCTTTAGCAAAAAAATATATACGAGACTAGTGATTGTATTATTCGCCAGATAATCCTAGTGAATGTATTAAATCCAAGATCTGAATACTGAATAAGTCTCTGCGGGATATCCGTTTAACGTACTGATAAATAATTTTAGTGAAAATGCCTACTAAGTATCTAAAAACAGACTGATTAGGTACTCAATTACTATGAAAGTTTCATGAGTTGTCTGCTACACAAAAGTATCATTTTTACGAATATTTAAAAATAATTAAATAAAATTTGTCTAAAGCCTTGACTATGTGAAAATATGTCTATATTTTCATACATGTTATATATACATAACATGCACCCAAAAAACAGAATAAGCAAACAAAGGAAACAAAAAGAAAGATATAATAAAAAGACTATAACAAATTTAAATGTGCTTTTAAATTACTTTTAATTTCAATAAAAAAAGAAAACAGCAGCAAACATAAAGTGATTTAGTCACGAAAGAAATCTTGTTAATTTGAGTACAATAAATTCTTTTGGATCAAGTACAAAAAATGGTAGAAATTAACAAAACGAAAATAGACACGGTAGTTTTTCAAAAAATTCAGTACTATCAATGTTATAATCAAATTTCTTGCTTATTATTCAGTATCACAGCAGTATGTTCTGTGTATGCTCTCATATTCAGATTCGAAAGCGCACAGATTCTATACTACGGCTTGTTCACGTAACGCGCTACTTCATTGCGGAAGTTTTTTTGTCGAAAATCTGGGAATCCATTTGTACCAGGCTGTAGAGCAGTTCTCGGGAAAATCTAAATGAGCCATTTTGTTCAGAATTCGATGCTGATTCCAACCATGTATAAATATCATGGAAAAAACCTGGCCGGAAAAATCTACATTCCAAAAGCAGTATTTCGGGTGGATTACAGTGATAACCGCTTTTTTTTGTATAACTCCTCCAAAACTAGTCGAAACCGAAAAATTCCAGAAAGGTCTAGAGATATGTTCGAGA